GTACACTTTTTATCACTGTTATAAATTGTACGAGATACATATTAAAGACCTTCGTCTATAGCACATCCATACATTTACTTAATTATTTACTTCGGAAGCGTGTATAACAGATATTGATATTATTAATTTATTCAAAAAGAGAACATCGTGTTAATGTAAACATAATTCATCCGTTAATTTTCACACCGTCCCAAAGTCACGAACATCATGAGAGTGTCGCGTTACCTAATAAAATGCCAGTTAAATAATATTATAATGAGCGTCTGCATTACGAATACCTATTATGCTTTCAGAGCGTGCTTTGTAAGCGTATGCACGCCCCCGCGGTAGCCCACCCAGTTCTATAAGCCGAGTGCCAATAAAAACTCCGAACGAAATTTTTGAACAGCAACCGTGGAATTCCCATCACATATGATAGAAGCTGTTTTAACATATCAGTCAAATTGACGCATAGTAATAGTTTAGCTAAAGCGGAAGAAAATAGGTATTCGGATTACACAGGCTGTTCTAAAATCGTGTCTGTGTCACTCTGTTTAAATTGTAAAACTTCTGCTAAGAATTCATTTTTACAACTTGATAAAACATGAAATAATGTTGAAGTAATGAATGATTTATCAAGTTGCCTTGATACCAGGATAAGCTAATAAGAGCGAAAATTCTGATAACGGCTTATTAAAGCGTAAGTTCGTCCATTTTAAATTACAAAATATTTTTACTCGCCTTTCGGGTAATCGGTAAAGAATGGTTTTGCTTTTCTTTACATTAATTTTTAAGTTATATTTTATTGTATATAGTGGACACCTAATTGAATAGAGACACGTTTAAAACTACTAGACGTGATCTCCAGCTATCAGACAAAAACTCACGTAAAAATAAAAATCATTGATGGTATGCCATTGAGTCCATGGCTCAATGAGTCCCAACCTAGCTCTTACGTGCATGTTAAGAGAGATAATACTTAAGTGGGTAACACATGTAATTTCTAGAAAATTAAATAGCACTCCCGTTACTTTAACTATATTGGAGTTCATTTTACTGCTAACGAAATAAATAAAGGGACATGTTGTATACAAACCTACGCATTTAGATTATGTCTCTTGCACAACGCTTCTGCTATAATACGAACTGGCATCGGTAATACTGGTAGCTGCTTGGAATCATAATAAAATTATTATAATTAAATCAAGACGGGTTTAAGTTTAAATCGGTGTTGATTTATTTTGAGTTGATTTAATTTAATTTGATTTCTAAGTGATCTGGAGAACCCAAAAGCGACCCAATGTGTGAAGTGGCACAGATAACAGGAATTTCTATCCACCCTAGAATCTTAGATGCCTTAATAGTTATCCCTTAAATATCCCAACTCACCTTATTAGTTATTCCTTGAATACTATTTCATTCATTCATTCCTTACCAATAATAATACCATACTATTTAAAGAATAAGGTATTAGCAGCTTTTTACTTGTTACTTTGGTAACAAGTAAAAATCCAATACTGGCCGTTGTTGTTAAAGTCGTTTCATATGCCAATGTCATTGTGTTATGCTGAGGCGGCTGTCTCGTAAATCATATATCCGTCCATTATGAATCGCTCTAATGTATGACCGCATAAATATGTTTGATTTTATTTGCGCTTTAGAATGATTGCTTGCGTTGATTGCATAATTAACACTGGTTAGTCTTAATGGCTTTATTTAAATATGATATTGATATTAATATGATACTTAACAGTAGAGGGGCAGTTTAAATGATAATACGATGCCTTTGAAATTTACCATCATTTAAATTTGCACGTACAAATATGTGTTACAACAATTGGAAAATTTGTGAGCACATTGACATTTTTGTGTATTGCTGTCCGTATCCCCCTATTGCGACCCTATGACTGTCTGTCTGATTTTCTGTCTGTATGTCTGTGAAAAGGCTGTATCTCATGAACCGTGATAATGAAGCAGTTGAAATTTTCACAGATTATGTATTTATGTTGTCGCTATAACGACAAATACTAAAAACAGACCAAAATAAAAAAATGTTTATATGGGGCTCCCATTCATCAGTCATGTTTTGTTTTTGCTGTTTTTTTAGATAACGGTACGAAACCCTTCGTGTGCGAGTCCAACTCGCACTTGGCCGGTTTTTTGTGAGTCACCAAAACTTTCATCCGGTTGGGCTTAAACCCAGAACATGGCGAACAGTATCAATTTTCGAGGTGACAACTTTAACCGTTGCACCGTATTTAGCTTAGTTACATAATGACATATCGGTAAACATGCAGTGAAAAAAAGTTTGAATTTCCTGCATTAAGCTAAAGTTTAATTAATTCAGTACTCTCAATAAATCCGCCAACGAAATGAATAATTTAAATAACAAAGTCACTAATTTAATAGGCGTCTTTATAAAACGGACCACATAAAGTCATTGAGTTCGAATAGCATAAAAAATCTCATTATTTCTTAAACAACTGGTATGATGGATAGTACTTTTCGCAAATAAATTCGACATTATCTTCGTAGACAGATAAGATCGTAGAAAACAAACTATTAATGGAAACGCTGAGCGACGTTTTCGAACGGAACCGTGTGAAGCCATAAGTCTATCGCCCTAACTTGTGGCCGAGCAGAGACAGTTATACCGGACGATAATCGAAACGTTATCAGTTGAATTAATTTAATTACACGTAACACGTCACGATTATCGGTCGGCCGCCGTCGTAAATCAAGCGACGTCACCGCGGGGTCACGAGAGGTCAACTCGGAAACGCGAATGCGTTAATGAAACTTACCATGTTATTGTTGTTAATATTTTTCAGCCATTGTTGGATTCTGCGTGAAAATGACGTTGACTTATTTATTTTTATATATTTATTATACAACTATCTAATGCCCGGTGGGTTGTAGTGTCGTAATTTATTTTTTTCAATTACATACTAAAATATATATTGCGCCGATGTGCTTGTCAGATTACAAATATTACAATAACAAATATTTCTCTACCGAGATGGCAAAAAGTAGGAGGCTATCAATTCGGTTATATGTTATTGTTACGTTTGTTACATTAGCACTCTGTAAATGAAGAACCGATTTCAAAACTATTTTTGCATTTTTGGTTTATCTTGTATGTGAACCCGTAAGAATTTCTACTTGTTTTATTTTTATTTTTACAGTTTTTTAATATCATTAATTGTAATCTAAATTAACTATAAATGTCATGCTTACGCTGAGTCAATAGGATGTCTCTTTAACCGCCGTAAATCCCTCAAATAGTTTCATTTAACCATGTTTAAATAATCGCGTGAAAGTAAGAAATCAGTATGTTATAAGCGCTTTGTAATTATGCAATCTAGAATAATTTACCACGTACACTCAGTGTAAAATAAGTAATTTGAACTTACAGTAAAAGCGTGACGACATACATGAAAAATTTAATTTACTTCCAGAATTTTGCATGAAAAAATTTTGTAAGATAATCAATATAACTAACCAAATAAATCGAAGTTCTTCTTGGTAAATAAATCGAAGTTCTTCTTGGTAAATAAATCGAAGATTTCTGTCAGCTTGTGTCTGTGTTTTAAATCGAGTTTCACGACATTCATCATCATTATTGTTATCATCATCATTTCAGCCAGTAAACGTCCACTGCTGAATATAGGTCTCCTCTAGGTATTAAATGGGCCAGAAGCGGTCTGCATCCAGCGAAGTCCTGTGACCTTGGTCAGTTCATCAGGCCATCCCGCGGGTGGCTCTTACGCTGCGCTTTCCGAAACAAAGTCTCTAGAGAAGTGCGGGCCGCCCAAAGAGATTCAGCGTCACTCAGTGCGCAATGGAGGCTTATGCTCAGGTGTCCTCTGCGAGTTCAAACCTGGTATAAGGACATCCCCCTCATTCTTGATTTGATCCTTAGTAGAAAGTTACCGTTATATAGTGAAGCGGGTCTACGAGCGGAAGTGGCAACGGACAGAGCACATAGCTTGCAGAACTGACGGCCGATGAGGTTCACGAGCTTATTTAGCTCGAATCGTAACAAAGTGTGACCACCGATACTTGGTGATATTTGTTTTCTTGGAGAACAACAAATAAATGGATCTGACGATCTGTGCACGGCACTGGTATTTGAAACCGAAATCAAGCTACTATCTTAGACGCTAGACCCCGCCACAAAAAAAACTCAACTAGTCGCAGGTGGTATTGCTTAGAGTTGCAAATAAAATATACATCATTCAATAGTTACACATTTTAATTACATATATTTACATATTTAACAGTTTCATGCTAAAAATATGTTTAAAGATTTGGGGATTCTTATTAAGGCTTCGAAAAAAATGTTGTAAATTATACTAATTAGATACACTACGCCTAACAGTTTAAAAACTTGTATTGATACATTTAAAACCATAAAAAATGTACATATGCATGAAATAACATTTCCTGTCAGCTTGAAATTGCTTATCGCCCAGGTTGATATGTAATACCCCATAGTGATATTTTCAAGTTCTGAAATTACTGTGGTATGTTAAAGGTGGATTGTTTTTCTTTCCATTCGAATTAACATCTTCAAACCTACATGTCACGTGTGTTTTTTTTTTAATATTTGGCTGCAAAAATTAGTGTCCAAAGTTTGTCCCGAATATTGCTTACGAGCAGGCTCTACCTGTAACTTGAGATTTAAACCAAAAACAATTGAATACAAGTGGATTATATTAGCGATCTGTCTACTCAATAACTAATAAACATTTACCTATTAACAATTAAAATATGATTGATCAACGAAAAGTCGCCCAAACTTAACAAAATCTGAAAAGTTCATACGACTATAAATGGTAGAGGCACTTACACAACCCCGCACAGACCCAAGCAAAACTTAAGATTGACCTATTAATACTGAAATCGGCAACTAAAAATGAATAAAAACATACTCGAATTCATATTGATCAAGGAAAAGTCGCCTAAAGTTAACAATTGCAAGAAAGTTAACAAACGCTAATAAGTTCATGCGACTATTAATAATAAAGGCACGGAGACAACACCGCAGGGACCCAAACAAAGCTATAGACCGATTCGCCGTTAACGCGGGCGAGCTTGCTACCTGTCGACTTCTCCGTCGGCGGCGTGATAACTTGCGGGCTGGGGCAGTGCGTGAGCGCACCTCGCCCGAGACGCCCGCCTCCGCTCCGTGGACCGCGCCACCTGCCTGCACTCGCCGTGGCGACCACTGCGCAGTGCGACACTACTTCGCCGGTTGTTTCGGTGGCCAACGCGGACATCGCCGCGAGTTTCGGCAGCGGCTGAATAACTTAGATCGGACTTAACAGTAACTTAACTCGTTGACGTTTCGCGCGAACTACGATTGTGCAGACCCTATGGCTGAATGTGACTGGTTGATGGGCCGAGAACTCTAGTGGTGCTAAATTGCCAGTGAACTTGCCGTTTAAACGAATGGTAGAGGCTCGATGTGATGTACCTCAAAATGTATATAAAATCGGAGCGTTTCTATCAACAGCCGGACAATCAGGCTTTGAAGGATGAAGACAAATATTTCTCAGATTACGACGAGGATCTTGACGACCGTAAGTTATCTTTATTAAATATAATAAACCATAAAAATGCAACAGTTGTAGTCGCGATGAATATATTTTTTCTTATAAATGCTTAAATTTTGTTTTCAATCAAATGTTTAAATTTAACTTTACTTTGTCAAACATCAAATGTGTAACCTATGAAATAACGTAAGATAAATGCTGATGTCTAAGTCGCACCCGTTGATGTCTCTTGTACATGCGTTCAACTTGGAAAATTTGTAAAAATCATAATAATATATGCCTTTATTATAACCCGATATAGAACACTGTGCCGTGATAGCTAAGAGTCCCGATATAGAACACTGTGCTGTGATAGCTAAGAGTCCGAGCGCTTGCTTTTAATTCAATATACTTATGCAACTTGAGTTCAAATACAAATGCCAGCAAAAATTAAATTTTTAATTTTAACTGCTAATTTATCACGTGCTTGTGGTAAATATCATAAGGAAACTTGAAATATTTCGAAATAATTGTAAAAACAAATATTTGAAGATATGTGAAGTCTAAACCGCAGTTGGTTCCTTTGGTGGACTATGCCCTAATACCCTATGTATAGAGGAGATCTGGATCTATATAAACGGGATTAGTCGCATTACCCCTCGAATAAGCTACATACTTAGCACAAACAGTTGCTTGGCGCTCGTTGATGTCGTTTGTAGGGACACAGCCCGTAGCTTGTATGGAGCTCAAATTTCTCCATTTAACTTTTTTTTATGTGATAAGTTGCCAAGCGAGCTGGCCGTTCACCTGAAGTTAATTGAATACCGCCGCCCATGGATATCTGCTTACAGATGCGTTGACAACCTTTTGAGGATTGGGCTCCGGCTACGACGAAACGTAAAAGTATTTATTATACTTCCACTTTACGCCGGTCTTCTGTGAGGTCGTGGTACTTACCGATGAGCCTGCCCATTCGTGCAACAGCCGAGGGTGCTGCATGGCCCTACCATACTTACAGAAAATCACTATTTTGAAAAACCCTAAAGGCCCATTTACATGGTGCAAGTTTCTTGCCTGTTGTATACAATTAAATTGAAGCAACAAATGAGTTGCATGGTCTAAACAACACATAACATTCTTGACTGTTGAACAAGACTTGCTTCAAGTTTTGTTTCAAAACTTTCCTTGGTGTAAACAGCACACAGGATAATTTCTTAAGCAATTCTTGTTCTGTCTGTCTCTCTTCTTTTACAAACATGAGTGCGATGAGTGTGTTTAATCGTTGCTGTTCTTTTGAGGCAAGAAATATTGAGAAAAGGTCGTAAAAAAACATTGGATAAAAAATGGACAATAATATAGGGATAATGATAAACTTGCTTACTTGATGGTCAATTATTACGCTTAATTTATTATTGCATGCATTCGATTGTTGCTCTTCTATTTAAAAAAAAATGGCATCGTGTAAATGGATCTTTACAAGTTTGCCGAGATATAATCAACAAAATATTTTTTTTTTTAAGATATCAAAGTCAAATAAGTTCAAATATTTTCATGTAGCATTATAATACATCATTTGTCAAACATTGGTTAGCATATCGACCTATGTATATGTTTCAATGTTTACAACATTTACTAATAGATATAATTGAAAATTTTATTATAAAAATTAAGGCAAATATCAATAGATTTCTAATAATATCAGTAGGAGTTTAAAGTGCAGTGTCACCCTAAAAATTTGACAACACTGAAAACTGAAGACTATCCGCCCTTGTGTACTACAAGAGCTGACCTTATAATATCATAATTCATAACCGAATTTCGACCTGTAATTTACAAACAGGCGCACCGACTTCCATTCCAACTACAGAGCTCGTAAAAGTCTAACCTAAACGCGGCTTGAACCTGTAGGAGTCGGCAGTTTTTTCCTAGCGGTTCGTATTACGTACGCTTTCACATTTTTTCTTCAAGCGTAACCTTCAGTGCCGAATCACAAACACAATAACCCTTGTGGCACAAATTAGAAAGGTTTCGCAGAGAACGGCTGCTTCGGAGCCAATTAGGTGCAAGAAAGGGTCGCGCCGGGAAGATCAAATGAGGAAGGGTCCGCCAAATGACAGGTAAAAAAGGTTAGCGGTGGCCCTAGGGGATTAAGGCTAAGATGTTTGCGAACAAAAGGCACGCAGCCTAGCGGAACAAGTTTCAAGAACCCTCAGGGTAAAAAATGCCAGAAGGAATATACCATTGTTTTACATTTAAAAATCTGTTACATGCGTATGTGAATCTGTAAATTACTGAGTCCATTACAGTGTATACTCTATATAGCGAAGTTCTATTTAACGAAAAACTTCTTAGAACATAAAAAATGCTAATATTCGTTTGGTTAACTTTATCACGCTTATATTATATTGAAACACTATATAGCGTAGCAACCACTCTCGAACTCTCACTCAATAGCGAAACAATTCGTCGTTATTTAGAACCTAATAAACATTGTTTTCACTGATCTCTAATCCCAAAGCTGATATAGAGTTGTAAATATTTGGTACGTACAATGGAGTTCCGAGAAATGTGTTCATTTGTTTGTTCTAATTTACCTTATTCGTCTTATTACTATGGGTTTGTATATAAGTTTTCTTACTCTTAGTTGTTTTAAAATTTTTAAACTCTAAACATGGAGAGTAAAAGAAAGACTTTGTATTGGCGAAAAACCGGCCAAGTGTGAGTTGCACTCGCGCACGAAGGGTTTCGTACCGTTATCTAAAAAAATCATGTCTGTTGTGTGGGAGCCCGACTTAAATTTTGTTTATTCTATAGTATTTGTTGTTATAGGGGCAACAGAAATACATCATCTGTAAAAAAATTCAAGTGTCTTACTATCCCGGTTCATAAGATACAACCTGTATACGGACAAACAGATAGAGAGTCAACGGAGTGTTATTCTTTAGGGTCCCCTAGGGAACCCTAAAAATTTCATCAATTCGAGCGATAGAAAAGGGAGGAAAAAAAATGATGTTGCAAAATGTTTTGGATACAGTCCATCTACTGTATTTACCATTTGGAAGAACAAGGAAAATTTCTACAGGTAGAGATGGATAAAAAAGGCTTCTAATAAATTTAAAAAAAAAAAGCCTAAATTTGAAGATTTGGATGAGGCAATGTTTTCATAGTTTTTTAAACAGCGACAGAATACGCCTGTCTCGGGACCGAATAAGAAAGACAAGGCATAAATTTGATGAACAACTTAGCATAACTGATTTCAAAGCGTCAGAAGGATATCTTGGAAAATTTAAACAACGACACCATAGGAATTATGGTAAAATTAATTGAGAGGCACGAGAAATCAATACAAGTCAAGGTATGAAATTATCTTGTCTTTTGATAATTATAAATAATATAGCATTATCAAGATATTTGCCGAATAATTATCAAACAGTTAAATTCCTGACAATACTAAGTTAATGGTATTTAGCTATTTACCCATCATGATATAAATTACCTAGTTATGTAGGCTAACAAATTATCCTTGTAGCTATTCAGGCACTTGGATGAAAATTTGATAATATCATAACTAATCATTATTATAGAGTTTGTTTTGTTAATTTTCACCAATTATGTTCAATTATAGTTGGTTAAATTAAAAGTGGATATGTTATTTTTATACATTCCATGCAAATATCAAGTTGCTAGATATGATTCATATACTGGCATATCATGCAAAAGATTTATATTTAACATAAATTAAAAATAAATTACAATACAACGAAGTCTTCTCTAATGTGACTAAACTATATAACAATTCAATGGGAAATCCCATCGAACGAAATCGGTAAGTAAATATAATTTGGTTCTTTAAAAAAAACATCCCCTATTCATTTATTCCAATCTTCTGCAGGTCGTAACTTGCTAAGTACTGAGTTACATTACTTTGTATCGTCAAAGATAGAAAAAGTGCACAGAAATATCGACAGTAATAACTTGCAATATCAGTTTAACATGACTGAAAACTGTTTGACTTGTGTAATTCGTATTTGGCAAAGAGTATTAAGCATTCCTCAATTCCGGGAAAGGACGCACCCCCAACTTACCTGACCGTCCAAAAAAAGTATAAGGGTACCTGACCTGCAGTTCTGCTCATTTTTTTACACAGGAAATCGCGACAATGCCACGGTCACGCCGCATTGTGGGGTACAGGGGATGAAAAGTTTCGTACCAAAGTATGCAAAAGGTGAACAATGTGATGTAAGAAGCTTTACATTGGGCTATATGGCCCTTTGTGAAATCTTAACAGAATTGTTAAGTTACGGATGAAAGGTCACTGTTATATTACAATTTTAGCCCAAGTAATTGACGTTTGCATTTCATTTCCAAACTTTTGGTTATGATTGTCGAGTTTTTAACATGGAGTTATTTTAATCAAACCTTTTACGATAATATTTATTCATTTAGGACAAAAAAGTGAAAAGAACAAAATAACATAACAAGTATACGAAAAATAAAATAAAATAATCTTTACCTTATACCTATGCAATTTCAGAACGACACAAAGCAAATGGAAACGAATTCAAAGAAACATATAAGTTAATGTAGAATATCTCAATATCGCAGAAGGAACTCGTAAGGTTGACAAATAAAGTAAAATGTCGGAACAAATCTTGGATAGCTCTAGTATGTGAAACACGCCAAAACATCGTTTTAAAACACACACAGTGAACACAAGCGCGAACTCGACATGGACAGCCGGCAACCGGTCGCTACGTAGAGCCGATGAAACGAATTCCCTCGGCATTAATCGAAGCGTGCGTCGAATCGTTTTTCGTAATCGTGCGTCTTGACGCGACGCGGGGTTTTCGTCGAGTCAAGGCTGGGGTCACAGTCAGGGTGAATGAGGCCGTGGGACGAGCCGGGTCGCGCATGCTAATGTTGATTCATCGCCGGTCGGAGGTTGGCAACTTTGACATTTGAGCCAGCCAGCCCACCAATGGACCGTCGCCGATCACGATAACTGTTTCCCGTTCGCTTTGAATAGATGAATAACGATGAACGTCATTTTTAAGAAGCCACGAAAGAAATGCTTTAAACACAGGCGGACATACCTCTTTAGCACACGTTATGATTGTCGATTGGTAATGATGGCCCAAATATTTAAAGATTGGTTTGTTATTATGTTTATGTTTGTCCAAACAACTAAACAAAGCAATTATCGCATGTAGACTCGATTGATTTAAATCAATCTTTATTGCGTTTAGTTAAGTGTTAAATCTATTAAACTGATACTTTGATTTTAATTAAAATGTTACTCTAATAAAAATATTCAAACGACTTTACTTGAAATACGTTTGTTGATATTGCGAGAATCAGTTGTGATACATGCTTAATATAACTGTACTAATCAACTAGCCGTCGTAAATCATGTATACGTAATCTTTCTTGGCAAGTTTTATTTGGACACTAAAACAAAATACGCTACTTGATACATTATAATTAGACGCATTTGAAGCAATCTCGAACATATCGGGCTCGGAAAGACGTCAATATCGCCGCCAGTGGCGATAAGAGGAACGTTTATTGCTCTTATAAAATACCGTCAACTGCGTCGAAGTACTGTGACATTTCATTTAAGCTGTTATTTACGGCCGTCACCAACCCGTCCAATCGCAGACTTCTCTACATTGTCGTTACATTTTTAAACGACGAAACAACGTCGGGTTCTAATTAAGACGGGAAAACGCAATACTCCTTTCGCTCGACTCCGATCGCTTCCGAAGTCAAGGTTGACGGTGCAGTTTTGTTTTAAGCGCGGAGCCTTCGGCGATATTCGCAATTTCCATTGCATAAAAGTTTACCGGACGTACGTGACGAAGAACATAACGTGACCTTTTTATTTCAAATATTACGTTATTACCATACAACGTACTTAAATGTTAATTACAAAAGAGATCTTAACGAATATACGAGATAAAGTATTGACGAATACATGAATTTTATATGACAAATCGAAAAAACATCAAATCTGTAAAGGACCATACTTATGTGGTTATAATAGCATACAATTATTATGTAATCATCATGCAATCATCATGTAATATTTCACCCAATTGTGGATGGGTGGAAATAAAATTTACCGCAGGTTTTATCACACTTAAAAATATTTAAATCGGAAATATGGTTTCTTACAAAAAAAAATGTAGCATATGAAATAAAAATATTGCGAACATATAATATCAAGGTTGTTATTTCCGTTCATTTTATAGTGCACGGGAAATAACATTTTGACATTCAAATGTTTAACGGTTCAATTTCAATTTTAAAAATATTTAGCCTTTAATTCAATTTACTGGAGTTGCAATTTGATTTCGTGTTCGATCCACGGTGCTGGGACCTACGAATTTTTCTATTTTAAGTGCCGACTTATCACGTGCTTAGCGGTGAAGGAAAAAGTTCGCGTGGAAACCTGTATAGTATCGAAATAATAACAAAAAAAGTCCGCCAATCCGCAGTGGGGTCGCGTGGTGGACTATGCACCATCTGCCCAGAGGAAACCTTTGCCCAGCAGTGCGATATTTATAGGCTTGTTTATTTTTTATATTTTTATACATTTTATATATTTTTCTTTTGCTTACAGTTCGGTCGATGGTTTACGATATTATTTCAACCAGTTTGCATTTCACGCCAGTCAAAAGCTTGAGACTTGGGCCGCGGTTATCTTGCATAATATTTCACATGTTTCATTCACACGTCAGTCGAAAGCTTGTGACTTGGGCTCCAGGGCAGGGGGTCGAGAGGCGACAGGGAAGCGGCGGGTCGCGGTGCTAATGCTAATGCAGGGTTAATTGCGGATTCAGCCCGACCTCGCCTTTAGAAAACGGAGACAACCTGAGCGGAATTTTTAAATACCGCCCGGTCTGCCCTTGCGTCCGCCGCGCGACTTATAAATAACTCGATTTGAAACCTCTTGCTGTGTCTTCGTATAACGTTCGCTTCGCTTATTCGTTTTTTTTTAGGGTTCCGTACCCAAGGACCCTATTAGTAAAACTCCGCTGTCTGACTGTCTATCTGTCCGTCTGTCACTAGGCTGTATCTCATAAACCGTGATAGTTATTTTAAATTTTCACAGATGATGTATTTCTATTGCTATAACAAAAAAACAGAATTGAATTTTTTGCCGTTTTTATAGATAATGGTACGGAACCCTTCGTGCGCGAGTCCGACTCGCACTTAATCGGATTTTTATTTATAAATATGTTATGGGCGTAATATAAATAAAATAATATTTTCCTAACAGATTACAATTTAACTTACAAATATTGAGAAAGGTTAATACAAATACGTAATACAAATATGTAACAATAAAAGCAAATATGAATAGAGGCGTTATTGGTTTTAACTGTACAACAATAAATGTAGGCGCAATACGTGCACGCGGCGCGACCAAGTCACCTGAGGCTATTAAGTATGTATGGCTGCTCCCTAAACCGGACGGCTGGCTCGATTGTCACCGCTCTCGTCCGGTCGAGGGGTCGTCAAGAGGTCACCTCTCCAAACGGACTCTTTTCCAGCGCCCTTTTCGGCAGAGTACAAACTTTTGACCAAACGCTGGGGCCACTTGTGCCGTCGCCGCGGGCCGCTCGCTCTGGTCACTTGTCGACTGTTCGACGTTTGAGCAGGTGTCACGTTTGGGGCTCGTCAATGTTTGTCCACATCCGACGCTTCGTGCGCCGTGCGCTTTGTGCGACCGAAAATATCACCCGTGGCCCCCGACTTCGTTCGCAGGCGTCGCTCCCTCCGAGGTCAAAGGCAAAATCAAAATTTCTTTGTTAAATATAGGCTTATATAAAAATAAAGGCTTAAGGAATGTAGGCTTGCTTTAAACTCCTATTTAACTTTACAAAAAAACAACGGTTCACTAAATTAGACCTGTAGAAGAACCGGCAATAAACTGCAGTCCAAATACTATTTTTAATGATTTAAATATTTATTTGTTAAGGTACAACAACAGTATAACATATACTTACATTTACACCTATTCTAGGTATATACAACATTTACGATCTAAATAAAAGTAAACGAAAAATAAAATTTAAAAGAGAAAGAAGAATTAATATTAAAAACTAGTTATATATTTCAAATAAATTTGTATAAAAAAATAAAAAAAATAGAATAAATTTTAAATTTACATGCAAACAAAATAAGCAAGGGTGTAAAATCAACAGCAGCCAGGGGTCTTGCATATGTAGAGCGAGAGTAATTTCCACACATTCTAGATAGAAGTTAGACAAGATTGATTATAACGTACCCGGCGTTAGAACAAAACCTTTAGATAATATTCATGTTTTAAGTATTGTATGGATACTCGAATACTCTCTTATATTCGCCAGTTATGGGACACTTATTTATATTTAAGATATTACTTATCTTTACACGGAATAATCTGACGATAACTCACATTGAGTCAAGCAAACATCAATGATATAAATCGTATCCAAACAGGTTCGCGTGCTCAAAAAACCAGTGATTGCAAAAAAATTATACTCTTTTTCAATGTCTGTTTTTTCTACTAAAACCGAGTTACGATAATTAAAATTAATGTATTCCTGTTTATAAATTCACTGATCTACGGTAAAAAGTCGTGGTCGAGAACTTTTCACCTTTTTATGTCCGTGCAAATTCGCCTCCATTATGAATTAGTGTATAATGTATATCATTTATACTTTCGTATATTTAGGCACAGATTATTAATTGTATAAATTACATGCGACTGAAGACTATAATTTCTGTTACATCAGAATGGTTACAGCGGTTACCTTTCGCTCGTCGAGATCACAAAATAAATTTGACTTTCATTTCAACGCATTACAAGTGACGCTCGACATTGATTTATGCTCGTAATACGATAAGAAAATTATTTTTTGTATGAACCTGCAAGCTGCGTCTTATATTCCAAATTCTTTTAACCGCGGTTCAGCCCTAAGATTCATATAAAATAATGAATTTGAAACATTTGAACTTTGAACTTTGCCACATGTATACTTTATCTTAATAAATTATGTAGGTAAGCGCATAACTCAAGAATGGCTGGACCAATTCGGCTAATGTAATTTTTTGTATATTCCTTAAGGTCCGCGGAAGGTTTTAATACTATAAAAAGAAAAAAGAACGAAGTCTGCCCTGGATAGCTACATATATAATGACATCAATTTTGTAGTTTTCGGTGAACATATCTAGATAAAAGACTAAATCTCCCCTAAGTCGGCTTGACGGCTTGCTTTTTCAGTCGTACGTCTAAAGCGATTTCACACGCGTCGGCTCCAATCGATTCGACGGCCGATAAGCTTTAAGCATCTCGTCCCACTTCGAAATCGATCATGTCCGTCGCGGGTCCTGCCGCATGGCTGCGGCCGACGGGCCCTGCGTAGCGTCGTTGGCGTCTCTCCCAAACGTTCGCTTGCACCGCTGGACGTGTTTACCCACGGGCCCGGCCGGGCGGTCCCCGGCCAAACAGGCGCTTGTTTATGTTTGCCCGTCAACCACCTGCGTCGGCGTAACGACCTCCCCCGGCCTCCAGACGTGTTACGATGTCCCGTTCCTCTTGTGGATCGACTCCAACTTGATTTATTATTTGACGCCTCCGCTTATCTTAATCCCTCCAAGTGGATGATGCTGTGTGTTACAGTAAGCTGAAGCAGCCGTAAAGATACAGGCGGTCTGATTGGCCAAAACGCAAACTTGTTAATAGGTTCTCCGCGCTGGTATCACCGAAACATCGAACACAATTCAGAGGACGATTCGTTATTTATTTCATTTATCATTTCATTATTGACTTCGAGCGTGAAACGAATATAAGATTGTTATGGAGGCGAGTAGGGATCGCGTAATCTTTATGTGTATTGCTTATTGATGCAGACAAGACATAGAATGTGTAAAGTGGTACGGAAATTTTGCATAAAGACACTATTTTCAACATAAAATTACTTCAAGCTGGCTACTTAGCGCCGCACTGGAAATACTTTAATACACATCAGAGTTACTATATTATGTTGTATAATATGTTATATTTATATTGAAAAAAATGTCAGGGTGATGTGACGATTAAACTTCGAATACAGACTCTTCAATTCTCGTTTGTCTAACATGTGTTAAAATTCAATGATTTCAGAATGAAAGTATCAGATAATTATGTAATAACTGTTTTACATACTGGCAATTAATTTCGTTATTTCTGACTGTACATTGAATTGAAAAGCACTGATAGCTAAAACCTTGATAATTATCCAAACTCACATAAAAACTTTTGTCAAAGATGCCGTTTAATAGTCACAAGGGAGCCACAGAGTTGCCATTATGTATTGCAATGTTGATAGGACAGTTTTAAGAATCAATTTCTACGTGAAAAATATTCTTACCCCATCTTTAATTTCGTATCACTCTTATCAAAAAATGTTTTACAATAAATGTATAGTACCAAATTATGAACCTCATATGAAATATGAAACTCTCGTAGAAATTCAGTGCTCCATAATTTGGACAAGCTAACGGATTGCGAGTGTCAATAACAAATTCGCCTGAGTAATTAGTGTCCAACTGTCTGAATATCTTAAACCTGTGCATATGCAGTGTATCTTATTCACAACACAAACCTTATTCATGAGTTAACATTCTATTGCTGAGCACTACTTTACAACAGATGGGAAGGATCAAGCAATTGAAAAAAATTGTACTATCTTACGTAGCTCTCAATCGACGACCGAGGTTTTAAGGGTTCCGTACCCTAAGGGTATAACGGGACCTTATTACTAAGACTTCGCTTTCAGTCTGACTGTCTGTCCGTTTGTCATCGGGCTGTATCTCATGAACCGTGATAATTAGACTTTTGAAATTTTCACAGACGATATATTTCTGTTGCCGCTATAACAACAAATACTAAAAAATAAAATAAAAAATGTATAAGCGGGGCTCCCATACAACAGACATGATTTTTTGCCGTTTTTATAGATAATGGTACGGAACCCTCCGTGCGCGAGTCCCACTCGCACTTGGCCGGTTTTTTCTTAGCCCGTCTCGTATGTTACCCAACTACACGGAGAGCTCTGAAATCACGGTACTCATCCAGTACTGCGGCACCTGTTTCCTCGCGGGAGGTCACTCCTTCGCCCACGACACGCGGAGCGCGTGGCGCGCCAAGCTGTGTCAACATTGTCGCCAGCCTCTGTTGATTTTTCTATTAAGCCCGGAGTGACATCGCCCGGCTCGGCTCAGGGCTGGCGATCGCGAGGAATTCGGCACCGTTATGACTCGCCGCCGAATGCGGTGGGTGTCGCTGCCTCGAATAAAGTCTGTGTAAACAATCTGATAGCCATTGAAGTGTCAAACTTTAGTGACATTTTAAATAAAGCTAGCTGTGTACACGTGCACATGTTTCATAGACACTTCGAATCAGTTTTTCAGAATTTGTCATTTTATTGAATTAGAATCTTTATTGATCTAATATTTACAAGATTAAATCTATCTAAAATTACATATTATCTAATAAACCTAATCCACGCGGCATGGTGCCAAGAACGCTAGCTGCATTTCCTCGCTGAATAGTTATGCTTAACCTTTGCGCGAGAAAAGAACCAGCTCTCTTGTCACCAGCCGCGGCGTTAAGCCTAGGACATAAACTTTAAAAAAAATTGATGTGCGGGGACCCCACGGACCTAATAGTTCAACAGCAAATGGCACAAATACATAATCTGAACATAAAGACTCATATTTGCGCCATTTACTTACTTCAGCTGCCTCCGATGCCGCCCTGGCCCTGACGGAAGTACCCCTTAGATGAGAGGCAGCCAAAGTGTCTACACAAGTGGCGTCCCAAACAAGGGCTTTGCCTCTCTCCCAAGGGATCAATGTTAAACCGTCGGGTCTCTTACCATCGTCGCGTAAAATGCCACAGGGCTCTAAAATAGATGGAACATTGATGGAAACAAGAGCCCTACGGATGATGTCGTTCAGGGAACCGTGGCGAGAAAAACGGCCAGCACTTTTTTGACAAGAAAGCCCGTGGAGACCAAATTTGTCTACACTGACACCACAAGGGCATTGGTGTGGTTGACAAATCGGTGCCCCCAGACGGATTCCTACAGCAATGCGTAAGCTTTCATCGTCAAGTAATGTGCCCAAGTTACTTGATGGTAAAGCGTGAAGCCAATAACTCGATTCTTTAGATGAGACTCCTAGGAAACGGGCACGCTCTAAATTACTTTCTAAAGATTGAAACGTATCTCTCTGTACTCTCCGCACCAAAGGAACATCCACTGTTTTTGTAGGTTTACTTCCAGTGGGATATTTTCGTTGGGACAGATAGACAGCCAAGACATCCTTGCCTCCTCTGCATAGGAAAGTTCTGAATCGTGATTAAGGATGTTATTACATAAATTATTTACGCTATGCACGGAAGCAAGGAAGGCAGGTAGAGCGACACTAGAAATTTTCCTTACACCGATACCACCAAAACGAATTGGCAGCGTAGCTTGAGTCCAGCTTAGTTCATTAAGAGATAAATTTAGAATTTTTTCTAGAGCTGATTTAAGATGGAAATCAATTTCGTTCAAAAAGTCACCGCATTTCCAAACTGGACTCGAGCGAAGGAGGTACGTAAATTTAGGTACAAGAATACAACGTCGCAAAATAGTAAGCGCAATATGCGAATTTAGTAAAAACAATTTATTGACATGATCTAAAAATTGACTTAACTTTAATTTTAAATGAGGTTCCAAACTTGGTATCAACAAAGGAGCACCTAAGAGGTAAAGTGAATCAGAACGGACTACGTTAATTCCCGGTATGATAGAGCTAAAATTTTGGGTCAAAATGATTTTGTCGGAAAAAGAAATCTTTTCGGAAAAGAAAAGTTCGCATTTGGAATTATTTAAATCGAGACCGATATTTTTAAATTGTCTAATAATTTATTTAATTTTTTATTGAATTAAAAAAAAAACAGCCGTATTACATAAATAATATTGTGGGACAACCCTACGAACATTTAATAGACCCGTTGCACTCTGAACAGAGAATCAATATAGTATTGTGTGCGCGTCCGTGTAACTAAAGCTTTCATAAGTGTTTTATACTTCAGAACGTCGTTGGAATCTCACACAACAATAATTGAATATTACATTATTTATCGTTCAATAAAACTATGAGGCATACATTGTGTGAAAATTTCTCTACATTTTCATCATAGTATTCAAAAGTTATATACTTACGTTCCATGTAGCGTCATGGTCTGTAGCTGATTTTAAGACGTGGAGGCTCAATTTCTGCAGTCGACAATTTCTTACTTCAACTGTAAAGTTCTTGAATGTGATTCAATATATTAATTACCTTAGGATGCAACTTGTTATTTGTCCTTTATAATCGTTAAATGTTTCTCAATTCCATTATATCTACATTTTTTTTTTCACTTATTACTATGGAAAAAACCTAAGCGTACAAAATTTCATGTTAAATTATTGATGCTTTTGCGAGTTTTCTGAGGCGACGCTGATTTCAGTTTTTGCTTTAAATCTTAGGAAGAGGAAAAAGTTTAACGGTTCCCAGCCACGGCAAATATAAGAATTCTAATTTTAGTTTTTTCTTTTTGACACTAAGTACAGCACTGGTTAGAAATAACGGTTTTGCTTACTGAGCTTGTTACGTTTACAGATTTGAATAAAATTAATCATTTCGTTAAGATGGTTACATATAGCCAATAAATATTTCTAGCCTATGACATAAAAGTGACGTATGGAAAAAATATTTTTTTAATCCGTAATTTTAAAAAACGAAAACAAAACTATATTTTCTTCTCGTGTTATCTTTGTTAGCATCCGATATTTTTGAAGGATTTAAAACTCAAAAATCTATATATACGAGTAAATAGCCGCACATAATATGTTCGTTCTAGATATGTGCAGACTAAAGAAAAATGGCGAAGTGAACCAGTTAAGCAACAATATATACGCCTTAGGCTTTCCGGGAATCGGACAAGTTTGATGCTATCTTTAATGTCATGTGTCATCCTCGCTTGATTCTTCCAAGCGTATACAAGGCGTACTTTTCCCGCGAATCGTACTTTGAAACAGTCAACGTTCCACGTTTCGAGATGTTAAGGGCAAAGATCAATTCGCAAGAATAATTACAAAGAAGCTATAAAGACGGAAAAATGTTAGTCGCTCAAGAAACGTTATACAGCCAGTAAAGAGCGACTAAGGTTTAACGGATACGTCCATGTCTCAGATGTGTATAGATAATAATAACAATGGCTCCATTACTTCGCCGTCGTGGGCCGTAGATTCGATCCCAGTTGTGGAAAAGATATTTTATTGCTATTGTGTGACCATGTTGCTATAGATAATTGTCCAGGCTGGAAGCTTGTCCATATTGAATTTTTGTAGGTAAAACATTAACTCGGGATAATCTTATCCTAGTGTAGGTAGTATTTTTTGCGAAAAAAATATTAATTAAAATTTAAGATAATAATGAAGAAGTTGTTTATTTTTTGATTTTTATTTTACTAGATTTAGCAGTTTACTTGATAGTGAGCGATTTGACATTTTTATTATTCCAACTGTTTATAGAACATTGCCTTCAAACTAGCCTTTATAGGCATTTATAGTGTTATATTTAGTTATGTTATGTTTAGTTAGTATTATCATTGGGTTAAAATTGACAGAAAAAACACTAATTTTAAAAACCTTACAGTGGCATCATAGCGATAGATTTGCGAATATCACGTTAAAGTACAGTTACGTATCATCGTCATTATCATTTCAGCGTATTTAAGTCCACTACTCGTCATAGGCCTCCCCAATAGACCATAGACTACTACGAAGCATACCACCACATAGATCGACACTCCATCTAGCGGGGGCTTACGCAAGTATCAGTACAACCATTGAATAAACAAAAAAATCATTAGTATTTCGAAGATATGCAGGTTTCCTCACGATGTTTTTTTATAGCCGCCTAGTACGTGATAATTCAGCATTTAAAATTAACAATTTCACTGGTATCGGGTTTTGAATTCAGGTTGCTAGAGTATATTGAATATAAAGCGAGCACCGGGACACTGAGCTATGAAACAGTCTATACATTACCTAAACTCATACATTATCTAAATACATTAATAATATATATGTATATAACGTCAACAAGCGTCGCCCGCGAAACGTCCTCATCGACCCGGTCGAGGAAGGGGACTTAGATACGCCGGACCCACCGCCGGGGGTCCCGCCGGATAACACACCCACAGCTAGTGTAACAACAAACACAATAGTTCGCCCTCGCCTCCGAGCACGGCGAGACCAACACAACGCGTACACAAGGTACACCCGCGTTCCAGGGCGGTTCTCACCGCCCCCAGCCACCGATTAGCTAAAAACACAGTCGACGGCCATCGTGGTCTCGGTCCGCACCGCAACTTCGATGGCCCTTAGATGACATGTCGTAGTTAAACGCACGCATGAGCTCATGCGCGGCCCTACCCACAGCGTAGGGCCCAAACCCGTGGGTTCTGGCTAGCCCACCGGTTCTGCGTCAGATGAAGCTTTAATAGTCTCGGGACTGAAAGCAAAAACATCAGTTAATACAAGATACAAGATATTTATATTATCTAAATACATTACAATACGTAATAAAAGCCATAGCTATAATGACCTAAAGACTTAAATGACTATATTACGAGCGTCAGAACTTCGATCGTATCCTTTTAAGGCTCAATCAAACCTCACAATATGTTCCTCTTGTTGTCTTTCTCCTATCACCGAATCAGCTACTGCGTTTCAATAATTAAGTTAAGTCTAGCTGCCGTCGCCCGTCGGGATCTAGCAAGCCACTAATTGCTTAAACATGATTCCTATCGTTCGATAGACGGCCATTAATTGCCCCGAATATGTAGCCAATGTCCATTGGACAATGCGGTGGTTTAGTTCGACCCAATTCCCGCTTCGAGGCGGTTGCAATACAAGGCAATTAAGCAGCCTGGAATGTTTGTAACACTTGACAAACATTTGTTAACCCTTCTGTCAGTCAAACGATCGTCCATTTTTCTTTTTGCATCTATTCTAAGCTGAATGTATACAAAAAAAAGTGTGTTTACTCGTTTAGAGGCGCTCATCTGAGAAACGTATGTTAGCTTTACTTTGTTTTACCGAGTTAAGAAGGTGCAAAACAATAACACCACTATAATTACTTATTTTATCACTTTTAGACGGAAGAAACACAACTCTATGTAATCTGTGATACTGATTGAGCAGTACTATCGCGTATACTTCTTCTTGACAGCCGAAGAAGAAGACGAAGACCATGAAATGCTTCGTGCAGAGCTTCATTTATACCTCATAGAATGACACCTCTTTTAGTGGTACCAACAACCTCAAGGAATTACTTCTTTCAGTGTTGCCAACACGCAGAAATTAATTTTTCGTTTTGTAGCCTATTTATTGAGTAATGGTATAGCATATTTACTTCTCGCAATTGCTCTGAACACCGGAGCAGTGACAGTAGTTGACAATGATATGACAACGGTAGTAACCACGCCCCGGCACGCTTCTTAAATACGATGTATGCTATTTCGTAATAGAGCAAAAGTAACGGCCTAAACAAGTACCACGGGCAAAGGGCTCCTCTGTACAGAGGGTATCAGGGCATAGTCCACCACGGGCCCCACTGCGGATTGGCGGACTTCACATATATTCGAAATATAATTGTTTTTTTGTTATTATTTCGAAAATATGTAGGTATCCTCACGACGTTGACCTTCGCTTAGCACACATGATTATTCAGCACTTAAAATTAACAATTTCATCGGTGTTGGCACCGGGATTTCAATTTTTTTTTTTTTTTTTTTATGCGAAAAGTTGTCAAACGAGCAGACGGTTCACCTGATGTTAATGAATATGGACATCTGCATATGCGTTGACAACCTTTTGAAAAAGCTCCGTAGTATTTGCGCCGGTTTTCTGTGAGGTCGTGGTACTACCCGGACGGGCCTGCCCATTCTATCGTAGCGTGGCCCTACCACCGTTCAATTCAGGTCATTAGAGCATATTGAATTAAGCGTAGGCCCGGACACTGAGCTATCGCGGCTCTAATTTCGTAATCGAAGTGACGATAACATAAATTCTTGACAACACGACGAGCGCCAGTTATTATGACGACAACGCACCTCGCAATCCACGCTAAGCACTCCACGAAAACGTGACCGCTTTAACGACCTCGCTGCTATTTGTTAAACGCGCTAACCTGTCCAAAACCGAACCATTAATCATTCCGTGCGATCAAGTTATGGGCACAACTATTAGGCAGGCAATAGATCTAATCGATTCAAAAATCAAATTGACTTGCCTTCGCACTCGTAAAACTCGACGAAACAATGCTCCGGCTATCGAATGAGTGATTTTTAAATTCTGTTGTGTTTATTGTCCGGTAGGCGATAGACCGCGGAGACACGAGATCGAATCTCGCAAAAAGTTTTCGGGTCAAAAATTTTCACTTGTTAAGCAGTAATCAACTTGACTCGCCTTCTAAAACTCGCTAACTAGACAATGATTCCGCCGGATATGGAATTATTGACTCTTAAATTCTGTTATGTGTTTATGACTCCATGGGCGATAGATCACGCAGCCGTGGGTTCGATTATTGCAAAAAAAAAGTTTGTATGGAAAATATTTGCCCGACTTGCGGCTCAAGTGTTTTAATTAAAATGTTCTATACGTGTACCGATTCTACAACATCCAATAATGTTATTCAAAGGTGTTTAACTTTATCTTCTTTATTTATTAGTCTACCTTATCTATCATCTATCGTACTTAACTGACTCAGATATATACTATTTACAGACATCAAACCGTTTTAGTTTACTATGACCGCGTGTCATTTGCTGCCATGCTTCTGGTGACTTGGGAGCAATATAACAAAGCCAAGAGCCGACGAGGCTGAACGCGCGAACGCTCTACTATTACCGTAACACAAACAGAACTCATTGCGTGAACCGCGCGCCTTGTGGTCCGGTATCACTTTACACTTGAATCACGCATAGCGAGGCGTGCGTGCATATTCTTTCGGCGCCGATCGCTTGAGGTCCGTTCGTCGGACGTGCCACCAACGGGGTCAGGTGCCTCGTGTCAACGGTACCTTGTTTGACGCTGCTGACCCTACCTCGGGCGGACTAGCGGTGTGCGCTCTGTGCGGCGCCCGAGTCGTGGCGAAAGTCATGAACTTATGAACCTTAAAATCTACCGGTGTTAGTAAGCAAAGGCGTTTTAATAATAGCACCAGCATATAAGGGCTACTTACTTACTTTACTGCACTCATTGCGTTCGCTTCTCTGAGCTCAATGTTTAAGGCAAAACGAAAGTACCACTTCTCAAGTTGTACTCACGATCACGAAGATTTCTAAATTGGAACAAAAACGTCACATTGAAATTACTTCCACGTATGCCGGGCATTTAATGGCGGAACGTTAAAAGTCTACTGAGTGGAATATGCACAGTCGAAAGAGAATTTTGAGCAATGGCAACAAAAACCGTCGAAATTCCGTTTGCACCACAGACTTAGTCGCATCAGTATCGAGTCGGACGCGTCTGATGTCCAACATTGTTGACGTAGTCGGCACATAACTGCCAACAGTTCTGTTGAAGTAAAGGTTAATTGATTTCCCCTCGATGAATTCCTATATTTGGCAGTTAAAAGCCGAGAAAAGACGCTCTTCAGTGCGTCCCACTTTTACCTTCTTAATTTGAATAATTTTTTTTTTTTTTTTAACTTTTTGTTTTCTTTCTCGGTAAGATAAATCAATATTCACTTCATTTTTTATATTAAATTATGCAAGAGAAAGAAACGGTGCTAATTGGCTTGGGCGATAACTTTAAGACCGCAGGTTCAAATTCGAGTGACGCCAGTAAACCGGCAATGCCTTTCCTATTTTAAATTATAAATAGCCTTCGTCCAACGTTGAGGGCATGAACATATAACACTCACACTTTACGGTCTTCTGTGAGGTCGTGATACTTACCCGGACGGACCTGCTTATTCGTGCAATACGGAGACTGTCGCGTGGCCCTACCGCAGTAAAAGTCTCTACTTCATTCATACAAAATACTACGTTGACCTGAATATTAGTTACTCTATCTGAAACTATATCAATACGCAACACGAGGAACAGGTTTCGGTAGCGTCGCTGTTACTATTTTGCTTGAGTTTTTTTTTACGTACATCCGAAGGCGCGTCACTATATGGAAACGGTGCCACACTAATTACAGTTCGACTATTATATTAGCTGAGCCCGTTTGTGACCGGAAGGCGTCGTTCACCGATCGCCGCGACAGTTTCGTCACATCCTGCGCGACTTTTTCTCACGGGCTGCGGACGCGCGACGATAAAGCCTTCAACTTTAACGTCCGAAAAGTGAATTTGATTAATCTTATCGCGACCCACGAACCGTGCTCGACGGAAAAGGGATTCGACGCGGTCGGGTTAAGGGCTTATTTGGCATGATGCTGGAGGTTGAATAAAAAATCATCACTTTCAAAATAAATATTACGTTTTCTTTGAATTAGTTATGTCTACGCTTCTCCATATAATTATTCAAGTCAGTTCTTTGATTAAGCAATTCCAGTACAGGTGTGATTATCTATATTAACTAAATATTGTCTATTCATATATGATTAAGACCTTAATAGCCCGCCCTCCAGTCACACTATCGAAAAAATCTGCTACATTAAAAAGCACAAACTAAAGACAAGCCTTATTGCGGGATGAAAACATAAAAGAGATAATTTTACTTACACGCCAATACATTATAGAAATTGTCGCTTCGTCACACAGTATGTTAAGCACAGGTTTTTGAGATAAACGCGATCACATTCAATATAACATGGGCTCGATACATTCAAAACAACGTCAGTAAACTAATTCGTATATAATATTCAGATTGGTCGAGAGATGTAAACACATTTGAAACTTCCACGCATGTGGTCTAAGCGGTGGTCCTTATCTCTTTCCGACCTTTGTCACACAATCGCCGAATTCGAATCCATATTATGACGCTCGCATCGATCTTTTATAACAAACACAGCCGCCTACATGTGTCGTGGCGCGTGCGTCAATACAAAGAAAGAACTGTTGTACAGAATATATGCATACGTCAATTTCATATAATTTCGTCATAACGCAAACAACATTACGATGTCACCTACAGTATGGGCGAGTTGGACCTTTGTTGGGCTTCAAATTAGCATATGAACGGAATAAATATTAGGAGGAAAGCTTTTCCAGCAAGTTTACATGGCACAGCGTTTTGTTTTTATACGTTAATGTTTTTATTTGTTAAGTAAAAGTTTGTCTAGCTCTTCTGCTTTCGAAATAAGCTTTAAACATGAATGATGATGCTTACTAAACTAATCCAAAATATAAATTGAATCCTTGCTCGATTTAAATAATATTTTGATTGAATTTAAAGATCCTTCAAAGGCGTTCTTAAAAAGTTAATTTGAAAGGTGCATACGCAAAATGTATTAAAAGGAAATAATGAAATAAAGGTGTATGATAAGGATACAATGTAAGGAAACATACCTATATAAATGTTAATTTTTAATAAATTAATTTATTAAAAATTAACTTATTCATTATTTTATTACATTAGATCTAAATCTAAGTTAAGCTGTCGAACAACGTAAGTTATATGGATCAAAAAGGGCGTGAAATGTTTTTGTTTCCCTAAAATATACTTGATTCCAAAACGAATTAAGACCCGTAACTTATGCGACTGAATAAAACAGCAGAATAATACAATATGACACCACTAACCAATTTATGCTAATCATATTCTATGTTTTTATTTAAAACGCTGTACTTTTTGACTTCGCCATCCTTAGCAGTTATATTTGACCTGAATCTTAGCTGTTTAAAAGCGGCTTAAGTTATTATATCAACCATACATTACTTATGATTTACGCGAAAGTGTAATAGTCATATTCTAGGATGTAGAGACAATTTATCGTTCTAGTTCTGAGGTCACATTTGTGAAATATCAAAACTCTGCAGAGTTCTGCTTTAGTATTATAAATTTTAATATTACTTCATCTATAACCGTATTTCTAAGGCTTCGAAATAAATCCTCATTTTTATAAAGATTTCAAAATTTGATACAAATTTAAAAGATCTCATGTTACATTCCGTATCAGTCGTGTGGAACCTCGATAAATCACGTCGATGCATAAGACTTGAAAATTGACGTTTCAAACATATGGCTTTAAACCGCTTGTTTTTCAACCGACTTACTTCAAAACAAGAGTAGGTTCTCAATTCGGCTGTATTTTTTTTATGTTTGTTACTTCATAACTTTCGAATGAGTGAACCAATTTTGATGAATTTTTTATATAGCTGATGCTTCCCATGTTGTCCCATATTAATTCAATTGGTATTGGACTCCGGAGATACGTAGGCAACTCCTGAAAATCAATTATAAAATGAATTCAGGGCGAGATATTTGAAGTCGGTTTTGTTTTTCGTTAATAAAAATGATTTCGTGACGCGACATGCGACAAGTTCAGCTCGTCTAAAGCTGAAAAGGCCTGGCGATTAAAAGCGATCGTAGGATAAGATTCTTTGCGCGTAACTCGACGAGAGCGGTGCGGATCGTGGTCCATTCCGACCGCGCTTTGGCGACAACGTTCACGGGTAACCTCGCGGCCGCATTTACACCGTGACACCTCGTGAGCTCATTAATTTCGCGCGATCGCTTCAAGCGATTGGTGGGAAGTGTATCGCGGGGCCCGCATCAAACGCGCCGCGATACGTATCGGTGTGAATGCCGAGATGCCACGCTGGCGGCGTGAACTTTTAGGCATTCCACGCGAACGTCCAAGACTTGGAGCGGACGAGATCCGATCCCAATCAGGCTTTCGTCTCACGTCCTGCCCATAAGTCCGGCATTTAAAAACTAATTTTATTGAGTTAAATCTCGATAAAACGTTACACTATACGTATTGTGTCAATATTTGTTATACGCAGTTTCTTTATTAAATACCTAAAGGTTGAACATTTTTGTAACTAACTGCTTTTGTGTATGTCACGAATTGGAAATTAAGGTTTATAATTCTGTTAACTTCTATAAGCCATATCTAAACAAAGCATACTAAAAATTATTTGTTGAATGCTTATGTTGGCCTAATCAGAGTTATAGTAAGGTAAATTTCCAAATTTTTTACGAAAAACCGCTTTCAATAATAATTATATCGCGTTCTTATTTGTTTGTAGCTTTAGACGACCTGCAATAAAAATGACATACTTAATGGTTGGCCCATTAAGTAACCGCTATATTACATCGACAGTACTGTTTATATAAATGCTAATTGAATGCTTTAACCTGAGCATGTAAGGAAAATGAAAAACATATTTCGAAAATATACCGGACTATATCCTAATACCCCTGTACAGTAATATACCTGGACAGAAGAATTCTTTCCCAACAGCTATACATAAATGTATAAATATACGCTGGTACTTAAACTAGTGGACGCCGAGTAATCAAAATTCGACCGTAATTAATTTAAATTATAAGTTTGAACAATATTAATCTATTCTCAAATACAATAAATAAATAATAATCAACAGAGTATATATGCGTGTGTGTATCAAATACATGGTAGTGTGTGCATTGCTTTCTTCATTGATTTATTGTTTTTTATATGCATAATTAAAAAATATATTAGCATTCTGCTCTCGTTCTTTATATAAATGTGGCAAATTTCATACACCTCCGTCCACGCAATTTTCGTAAAAAGGGGTACAAAGTTTTTGCTTTACGTATTAATATATAGATAACTAGCGACCCACTCGGCTTCGCGCGGGTGCAATTTATTATACATATAAACCTTCCTCTTGAATTACTCTATATAATAAAAAAAACCGCATCAAGATCCGTTGCGTAATTTTAAAGATCTAAGCATACATAGGAACAGACAGACAGCGGGACGACTTTGTTTATAGTAGTGATAATACAAGAGGAGCATACGAAACGTTGACGGATGTATAGAAAGACGGGCGGTTTCTAAACTACACGGAATCCGCTCAATAAAAACCAACGCGCTCATTACGAAAATGGCGCGATATTTTTTTTTCGCCGCGCAGTTGCTTGCGTGCAAGACGATACGCCAGCGACCGGCTTCACGCCACGCGTGAGCCTTTCCGGGTAAAATTAATTGTCCCTCGGAAAGGTTATGATGGCGTTTAAGAAACTGAAACCCGGGTCGAAACATCTAGACTGCAATCTAGATACCAGTTGCAGTAACGCAGTTGGACAAGTCTTCTTTAAACGTTCGTATAGGGTTTATGGGAAATTCACTGAAGAAAACTTAATTACATTATATATTTTTAAAATTAAATTGTTTTTTCGTTTACCTTAGTTTTTAAATTTTATAGCACACCACAACGGTTATTGTATACGTTGAAATAGCTGCGGTCATGTCCGGTCATACTCGATGATTTATAAGTAAACCAATAAAATGAAACCATACATTTATTTTTGTTTACTCTAATCGCTTCCAACCAACTATCTATCTAATATGGATCATTTTAATATCCATTTTTATTGCTCCCGACACAAGAAACGCGATAAAATCCGTTAAGTCTCCTCAATTTCGTACTGAATTTAATTTAATTTTATATTTTATAGTGCTCGTAGTTACCATAAAGCTGCGGAGAGATTAATAAGGAAACAAGGGTCAATTTTATGATAGACTTGTAATTAATTTTTCACATAAACATTTATAACGTAAATACACTACAATAGGATACAAGAAAAAATTATAGTTATGCTGTAATTGATTTTATATATCATTATTCTTACCTCTTAACAACATGAAACGAGTTAAAGCGATATTTATAGAAATAAATGAAAAATGATGTTTAGTGATAACCGCCGCTCATGTACATTGACAACAACCATAGGGTTACAGATAGGTTACCACCTTTTATTAAATTTGGCTCCGGTTGACTCACTCACCAGACGAGACGAAGAAGTATGACACTTGCACTTCACGCCCGTCTTCTGTGAGATCGTGGCAGTTCCCCGTACGGCCCTGCCCGTGCGTGTAACAGCGAATACTAGCGTGGCCCACATTCCGATAATTGGTAACAAGCGTATCCCAGTGAGCTAACGATGTCGTCTCCATTGTCCAGGTGAAGGCGGCGGCGGCGGCGGGGCGCGGAGATGCGCGCGCGACGCGGCGTCTCCCGCGCACGCGCACGCGCCTGCGCCCGCGCCGGCCGCCAACACCGCGCCCCACGCGCAGCACGCGCAGAGCACGCAGAACGCGCTAAACACGCAGACTGCGCTAAACACGCAGCCCGCGCTAAACACGCAGCCCGCGCAGAGCACGCAGACGGCGCACGTCAAGAGCGAGCGGCTCAGCCCGCACGACTCCACAGCCTCCAGGTCACTGATTATTTCACTTTCTCTAGGTTTTAGACCACATTTAGCAGAACGTTAAATAAGGGTTTCCTCTCAATGATTCAGCTTAATTTCGTTGGCAACACGTAAATATAATTTACTTAAGGGATACTTCAAAATTGTTCCGGTTACATAAGCCATTACCAAATTTTCACCATCTGTCAATATTTAAGCTGTTCTGAATTGAACATCACAATTTTGTTTATATTAACTTTTAGTCTTTAGCGGCTTTTGATTTATTGCGCTTCCTCTCCTTAGTTCCTCTTTTCTCTGTAACAGATTCTGCATCAGAATAGCCGGTATGTCCGCAAAGTACTAGTGTCTCACAGAGGACCTGAATAAAGAAAAACGTTGATACTTTTGCATTTTGCCTGATGATCCCATTCGAGATTGGCAATGGAACTGCAACCTCGCATACTTGTCTATAGGGGTGGTAATTTGTTAGCATGAATCTGCAAGCGTAACCGAGGCAGTAACACAGCCTCACAGCAGACTGACGTGAACTGAAACTATACTATTACGTTTCGTCTGTGAGTGAGGTAGCCGGGGCACTTTTTAATGGTTGGCAAAAATCGGAATAGTTTATTTGCCGAAACGCTCGCGCACACAAAAAAGGATCTTCCCTCACAACCGAAAGTGTCTACGCACTAAAACCCCTTCGATGTGGCTACGTACGTTTGGAGAGTCCCCGGGAGCTCCTATGGAACGCAGCGGTGTCCCTCGGTAATAGCATACCTCGCACAAGGGTAAACCTTCCCCGATTCCCTCGCCATCTTGAAATAGCTCGAAACCACTTCGCACTGTTGCTAGTCCCCTTTTAGTCGCCTTTTACAACACGCAGGGGATAGCCCTAAATGAGCCCGAGACTACAGGGCTGATTCGAGAGTGCCTGGCTCACCTCCGTGACGTGTCCAGGTCCCGTAGCGTGACGCCGTCCACGTCGTCGTACCCGGGCACGCCGCCCGAGCGGGGCAGCCCGCACGCGGCGCCCCAGCCCCTGCCCCTGCACCCGCCCAGGAACTACTCGGACATCATGCGCTCCCTCGCTGCCCGGTACAACACTCACCCGTCCAACGAGTAAGTCGTTTATACGCGTTGTTAAACCATTAAAGGAGCTGTGATGAAACTGATGAGTTATCATGAGAACAATAACACAAAGAAAGAAAATAGCTGAGAATTTTTCCATAAAAACAATCCCAAGGGTTTAATGCTTTTACACATTTTCTCCATTAAGGTTCCTTACTTAAACGTACTGGCAAAGTGTTCGCAAGTTCGGTATTAAAATCTCATCGAAATTTCCATCACATCCTAGCTTTATCGGGCAATGTTTCATATCGCTTTCCTCCAGTGCGAACTGCGTAACGGTAATGGTAGAGCCCGGTCTCGATATTTACTGCCACTGAGGCCGAAAGCTAGGAAGTGCGCCGGCCCGGCCGTTTCAATAAACACTATGTCACCTGGATTCGATACGGGGATAATTCAGCGTACGATGGCGCAGCTGGCGATAACTTCTGCAGACCGACTGCGGCTGGCAACCGCCGCGAAGCTCGTGGAAAATTTGAATTATTGAATTGCCTTTCACTCCTATCCCTTAAATAGATCCCGGCCCTCGACTATGATCAACCCTCCCATATTATTCTCTATTGTTTATCTCGCTTTCGCCGCGCACTGCGTTGCTCCCACCGAAACCATTTCGTAAACTGTTTGTGTTCGGACAGCAAACTCAATTGGCAATTTAATGTTATTCTGTTATTTTTTGATCATTCACTTATAAATTATTTTATCAAGGTTTTACTATATTTTGGTTATTTTTGAAGCCAGTTCTCTTTTGGGGCGTTAGGACAATATTATGAGAGTAGTGATGCGTGCGCACACTGTCCCTTAAGAACTGACATGTAAAAGTTGGTTGCAAAGCTTCTACTAACCTACCTAACTTCACGGTATTACCATGGCAACTAATAATATCTTTTGACATTTACCAATAATTCCAAGTTATAACCATTCTCAATTGAATTTTATGTCTTTTTCACAAAAAAAGAATACTGGCACATGGGATAAAATTTTCAATTAGTTTTCTTCTGTTTCCTAAGGAATTATAACTTCTTACGTGCGTACATACGTACCAACACACTTTTTGTATATTTTTTTTAAATATCACATGCTCAGTGATTAAGTTATTGCGTTAAGAGGTTAAGGTTAAGTGCGTTCTGCGCCTGAAAGAAAGTTAAAATTTCACGAAGTTGGTGTCGCTTCGCTTTGACGGATTTCTTTTTTATGGCCCGCGTGTCAACATGCGACATGTCACCGCGCCCGTTCACAATAACATGCGACCCGGTTCACCGACCGGCTAGTGATGCCCAAACGATTTGCATATTAATCGATTCGATAACTTGCGCTGCGTCGACGAAATTTACATGATTCGTGAGAACCGATGCTCTCCGCGTGAACTTATGTTATATTAATGAATTGTTCATCTGTCTGCGAGGTCGGCGACCTCTCGGTTTTAATTACTGTGCCCCCGACCGGTCTAGGCGTATCTGCTACAGTGTACGAAAATCAACGTATACTCGCAGTATGGAAACTACAATTCGACCCGTGTGTAACCAAAATTCAATAACTGCACAAGAAATTTACTACGACACTAACGCCCGCTTTCTGAAACACTGATCATCGTAGATGCCAACTAATCAGCCGTCAAATGGCTTCTCAAATTTCATTTTAGTTGCCAAAAGGATGGTTAGGGATATTAACTCTCTGAAATGACCAGAATGATCTTCTTAATTATCAGAATGATCAATTCAACGAGTTTAACCAATCAATTGGCAACTAAAATGACATTTGAAAATCCATTTGACAGCTGATTACTTAACATCTACGATGATCAGTGTTACTGACATGACATTGGCAGAATTATTTTAAGAGAGGCCATTAATCAAAGAAAAGAAGAAGAAGAAGATGATCAGTGTTTCAGAAACTGGCCGTAAGTGTAGTGCCAACATACAGAAACTTGTAACTTGTCGTCATTTTTGTCGTCGAACTATAAAAGTGAAACAAATCCACGAAATATTTTATTAGATTTAATAACGTATTTCATAATTTTTCCATGTATTGACATAGAAGTAAATCTACCTAAGTACCTATGTTTCAAATCTCACACAATTTGCTTAAGACGCAAAGTGGGAACGAATATATCTATCTGTACACAAATATCCATATTATTTATTAACATACGATAAGTCATAATAATATAATCATATTTCACTGTTTTAGAAGAAATATAAAGCAATAAAAACGATTTTTTTTATATTTAATTGCTAAATGACTGAAATAACTACATTTATGTCCGTACAACCCAATGGTTCAATAACTATAAAGTATATGACAAAAAAAGAAAAAATTGTATGGCCATGCATTTAGTATTTTCCAGAACATTATCTCTTTCCTATTTCACAGACACACGATATTGGTGAAATTTCAGTTGCCCAATGAGTATTCCCAATTGATTGATCACACCTGTCCGATCGGATACACTTGTATCGGATCAGAGCGGTGGAATTCAACTATTATTTAACGTCGATTAATTCTCGATGCCAGCGACCAGGCTTTTCGTGAAATGACTGCTCGGCGCCGAGTTATCTTTCGCACATTTTTTGCTGAGACATTCATCAGTCTGACCTTGATGAAGGTCACATTGCCAGTACATTTAGATAATGAGTGTCAGCACCGTCAGGCTCGGTGCCTGTCAAGATTCCACATTTACATTTGCCAGTACGATTAGGTAAGGAATGTTAACAAAAAACTGGCCAAGTGCGAGTAGGACTCGCGCACGAAGGGTTCCGTACCATATCTATAAAACAGCAAAAAAAAAAAAATAATGTCTGTTGTATGGGAGCCCCACTTAAATGTGTTTTATTCTGTTTTTTAGTTATAGCGGCAACAGAAATACGTCATCTGTGAAAATTTCAACTGTCTAACTATCAGACAGAAAGACAGAGGTCCCGTTTTATCCGTTTGGTACGGAACCCTAAAAACTAAACAACACCCTAAACACTAACACAACAGAACCCTAAACACTAACAGGCCGGTGCCTGTGATAATGCGTAATCGCCCTTTAAAACTCTTCTGTATTTACTCAACAATCTATCTGTACATAGAAGTAAATGCTTATGTTGTCCGCTTTATAATGCGTTTATATCTACGAAATGCATCTCATCGATGTCACCCTCTAGTGTAATTTAAATAACAATAACGTGCAAATAAATCATTCATTGAAAGATGATGATGCATCTGCAATAAAAACTTCTAGTAGGTCAATACCGGGTCCGATTAAAATTGTTTTAATTATGATTAAACCAGGCGCTTTATCAAAGGGATACCACGGCATCAGAGTCCTGATTAAATTGTCTCCTTCGTAACGGTAGAAATCACGAAATAGCACATGTTTGACAAACAATTCTTGACTGAGCTCTAACATTTTCACAATTCAAACGAACATTTAAAGAGTATGATACCACGGTGAAATCCCAACACAGTTCTTAACAACCGGCAAATATAGAGTTACCGGAAATCTATAGTTATCTCGAGTCGGTTTTCTAACCTAACCTTTTGGCATTTACAAAGCTGCTACCCGCACACCGGTAGAGCCTATTTCTCTCGATTATACATGGTTTAATTATCTCGAAAGGGCCCATTATTCATGAAACAACAGCAGTGTTGTACAAAGGTCGACCACTAAATTCATTGTCCGACACAAATTCTATGCTTTGCACATTTAGACATTGGTACAACAGTAAACGCCCTTGAGATAAGACTGTTACTTGGACCAGTATTAAACAAGGTCTTTATAACAATGAAAGATATAAAACAAAAAAACTAAGTTACTGTTATGAATTAGGTTTTATGAAAAAGTAATCTCATGTGCACTTTATTGACTTCTTGTTTTTACACGAATGTTTATACATGGATGAACGAAACTATTTTACGAGAACATACAACAAGAATTATTAAAATCCGTAAAGATAAATGTTTGTCTTAACTAATGTTAGACATTCGTTAAAAAAGAAAAAAATAAATTAAAACTACGGGAAATATTAAAACTTTTGTCAGTAAAACAGGCGTCAGTTTTTTCTCACAAACTGTCGTCGCTAACGGTTGCAGTTGCGGACGGACATTGGGACTTCTTAATTTTGCCCAATTAATTCGATAATAGGATGCTTTCATAACAGCGTCTCATGGGAACCGACTGCCGTTTGGTCGGGCAGGAAACCGGGCTCCGGCCATCGGCATGGCGTAAAAAGGATGTCACTTTCGCAAACTCTGAGCTAATGTATTGTAATAAAAGTCCGTAAATTTATTTTTAGGGTTCCGTCCCCAAAGGGTAAAACGGGTCTGTCAACAAGCCGTATCTCATGAACCGTGATAGAAACAAAAGTACTAAAAAACAGAATTAAAAAATATTTAAGTGGGGCTCCCATATAACAGACATGATTTTTATGCCGTTTTTTATAATGGTACGGAACCCTTTATGCGCGAGTCCGACTGGCACTTGGTTTTATTGTTTACCCTCCTGTTAACTTCGTCGAAGTGTAGAGACTGTATAATTAGACTTATCAATTCTCTGATCGTTAAAAAATTACGTATTGCTTACACTGCTTAAATGCAATGCATTTAAAACGTCATTCACTGTAGCTTTTATTTTACTCTCATCGGTTTAAGAAATTATATCTTAATTAACGCTATTGGGCCGATACATCTATAGAAATTTATTCTCTGTTGTTACATTATACGATTTAGTACAAATTTAACACTGTTTTGAAATTAGTATCAATAGTACATTACGTATAATATGAACGTAATTTGTTTCCTATCTTATGTTACAATAATATTTATTCGAACTATAACTCGTAACTAAAACAGCAGGATCCCTGAAACTGTTTATCTTTTGCTGTTATGGTTGGCTACGAGTGATAAATTGGACTATATGAGCTGCCTTTAATTAGGATGAATAATAATACGGAAAATACACGCAGACAATAGCTCTAATAAAAGTAAATTAGCTATCATTATCATTTGCGCAAATGATCGCAGTTAGCTTAGACTGTACCTAATTTGGAGCCTTAACTATACCTCACTATTTAAGAAATACTTGTGAGAAGTATATACCAGCGACTTTTTCAATTTATCCCCCCCCATGTCAATTTCAATAGACTGTGCCGTAGACGGACCAGCCTTCATTAACCGTGACTTCTTACAGGACGATGCCAGTATCGCACCGAAATTATTAATTTCACGTCATACATTCTTGTCATATATATACTAATCATCTTGTCTCGGCTATACATATTGCTTTTTATGTATCATTAATGAGTGACCCAGATACGTATAAGTGTCACTATATAGATAAATATTCATAGAAAAATACTCATCTATACAGATAAATCAAATTGTAGTGTCTGTTTCTAATGTTAAAACAACCGCTTTTTACTAAATGCAAATGGATGTATTACGCGGTATATGTATAAAAATAACATTTTTTACAATTTTTGTCTCTCTGTTTGTCTGTTTGTTCCGGCTAATCTCTGCTACGGCTGGATCAAATTTGACGGGATTTTCACTTGCAGATATCTAATGTAATTATTTTAGAAATTTAAATTGTTTATAGTGCTAATCTTTGCACTTAAGATTGAACATTAAAATATTATGTAGAAAAAGTGCGAAAAGATTGTCGCCGTTGTGGGAATCGAACCCACGTCTTCGGCATTCGCGGCCTGACGCTCTAGCCACTGAGCTAAATGGCTGATTGCCACACCGACGAAAATCTTAACGTATTCTTCTACATTGTTTTCTTAGCATTTGAAGCAATGCTTGGCGCCATCTATTGTTATAATCCTTTCCAGCATACAAACAATTTCGAATATCGTTTTTACAACGATAATTCGAACGAGAGATGTCGCCATTGCTTTTTTAGAAATTTAAATTGTTTATAGTGCTAATCTTTGCACTTAAGATTGAACATTAAAATATTATGTAGAAAAAGTGCGAAAAGATTGTCGCCGTTGTGGGAATCGAACCCACGTCTTCGGCATTCGCGGCCTGACGCTCTAGCCACTGAGCTAAATGGCTGATTGCCACACCGACGAAAATCTTAACGTATTCTTCTACATTGTTTTCTTAGCATTTGAAGCATGCTTGGCGCCATCTATTGTTATATCCTTTCCAGCATACAAACAATTTCGAATATCGTTTTTTACAACGATAATTCAAACGAGAGATGGCGCCATTGCTTTTTTAGAAATTTAAATTGTTTTATAGTGCTAATCTTTGCACTTAAGATTGAACATTAAAATATTATGTAGAAAAAGTGCGAAAAGATTGTCGCCGTTGTGGGAATCGAACCCACGTCTTCGGCATTCGCGGCCTGACGCTCTAGCCACTGAGCTAAATGGCTGATTGCCACACCGACGAAAATCTTAACGTATTCTTCTACATTGTTTTCTTAGCATTTGAAGCAATGCTTGGCGCCATCTATTGTTATATCCTTTCCAGCATACAAACAATTTCGAATATCGTTTTTACAACGATAATTCGAACGAGAGATGTCGCCATTGCTTTTTTAGAAATTTAAATTGTTTATAGTGCTAATCTTTGCACTTAAGATTGAACATTAAAATATTATGTAGAAAAAGTGCGAAAAGATTGTCGCCGTTGTGGGAATCGAACCCACGTCTTCGGCATTCGCGGCCTGACGCTCTAGCCACTGAGCTAAATGGCTGATTGCCACACCGACGAAAATCTTAACGTATTCTTCTACATTGTTTTTCTTAGCATTTGAAGCAATGCTTGGCGCCATCTATTGTTATATCCTTTCCAGCATACAAACAACTTCGAATATCGTTTTTTACAACGATAATTCGAACGAGAGATGTCGCCATTGCTTTTTTAGAAATTTAAATTGTTTATAGTGCTAATCTTTGCACTTAAGATTGAACATTAAAATATTATGTAGAAAAAAGTGCGAAAAGATTGTCGCCGTTGTGGGAATCGAACCCACGTCTTCGGCATTCGCGGCCTGACGCTCTAGCCACTGAGCTAAATGGCTGATTGCCACACCGACGAAAATCTTAACGTATTCTTCTACATTGTTTTCTTAGCATTTGAAGCAATGCTTGGCGCCATCTATTGTTATATCCTTTCCAGCATACAAACAATTTCGAATATCGTTTTTACAACGATAATTCGAACGAGAGATGTCGCCATTGCTTTTTTAGAAATTTAAATTGTTTATAGTGCTAATCTTTGCACTTAAGATTGAACATTAAAATATTATGTAGAAAAAGTGCGAAAAGATTGTCGCCGTTGTGGGAATCGAACCCACGTCTTCGGCATTCGCGGCCTGACGCTCTAGCCACTGAGCTAAATGGCTGATTGCCACACCGACGAAAATCTTAACGTATTCTTCTACATTGTTTTCTTAGCATTTGAAGCGACAATCTTTTCGCACTTTTTCTACATAATATTTTAATGTTCAATCTTAAGTGCAAAGATTAGCACTATAAACAATTTAAATTTCTAAAAAAGCAATGGCGACATCTCTCGTTCGAATTATCGTTGTAAAAACGATATTCGAAATTGTTTGTATGCTGGAAAGGATATAACAATAGATGGCGCCAAGCATTGCTTCAAATGCTAAGAAAACAATGTAGAAGAATACGTTAAGATTTTCGTCGGTGTGGCAATCAGCCATTTAGCTCAGTGGCTAGAGCGTCAGGCCGCGAATGCCGAAGACGTGGGTTCGATTCCCACAACGGCGACAATCTTTTCGCACTTTTTCTACATAATATTTTAATGTTCAATCTTAAGTGCAAAGATTAGCACTATAAACAATTTAAATTTCTAAAAAAGCAATGGCGACATCTCTCGTTCGAATTATCGTTGTAAAAAACGATATTCGAAGTTGTTTGTATGCTGGAAAGGATATAACAATAGATGGCGCCAAGCATTGCTTCAAATGCTAAGAAAACAATGTAGAAGAATACGTTAAGATTTTCGTCGGTGTGGCAATCAGCCATTTAGCTCAGTGGCTAGAGCGTCAGGCCGCGAATGCCGAAGACGTGGGTTCGATTCCCACAACGGCGACAATCTTTTCGCACTTTTTCTACATAATATTTTAATGTTCAATCTTAAGTGCAAAGATTAGCACTATAAACAATTTAAATTTCTAAAAAGCAATGGCGACATCTCTCGTTCGAATTATCGTTGTAAAAACGATATTCGAAATTGTTTGTATGCTGGAAAGGATATAACAATAGATGGCGCCAAGCATTGCTTCAAATGCTAAGAAAACAATGTAGAAGAATACGTTAAGATTTTCGTCGGTGTGGCAATCAGCCATTTAGCTCAGTGGCTAGAGCGTCAGGCCGCGAATGCCGAAGACGTGGGTTCGATTCCCACAACGGCGACAATCTTTTCGCACTTTTTCTACATAATATTTTAATGTAATTATTTTAGAAAAAAAAACTCATTTATTTTAAATTCCACGTGGAAGAAGTCGCCACAGCTAGTGTAGGTACCATATAAGTCCATTGTGCAGTTTGACCATTGCTTTCCTATGTCCTACTTCTTTCTTGGCTAACTTTATGACTTTCCTTAGCTACTACCACCGGATGAACGGGTTCGGCGTGGAACCAAGGGCCGCGCCGCCATCCCCGGTGCATTCCGACGCCGCCGAGTCACCCCTGGGCGGGCTGTTCGACAAGCTGACCACCCAGCAGGGCGGGCCGCTGCGCATGCCCGCCTTTCCGCCCATGTTCGACATGAGCTCCACCAAGGTGACTATCGGCTTTTATTAACAACAAACCGCTCGGGCGAAATCTAGTAATCCGCAGTTTGCTATGAAGGAATATTAAAATATGAAAAAGCCTTTAACACTAATGACGTAAGCGTAGTAGGAACAGGAAACCGATGGAGAGTACGTGCGTCTTATGCGAATCATTGACAATACAATTTTATTTTTCCTTTTGCTCCTAACAAAGGAATACGTGACATAGATTATTTAAAATGAATATGAGTAAATAAAGTATACATTTCATTTACTCATTCTGCGAAAATTTATCTACATATTACAATTTTCAATTAATAATCAAATATGTAATTTTCAATTTTCTCCATAAATCATTTGGATTCTTCGAGATAACATTACGTCAAATGTCTAATAAAATATGTAAACTTGCGTGTGTTTACACAGTGCGATAATCGATTATAGCGTAATCTTTTCTTTATAATGGTAATATCGTCTTTGATATTACTTTTACCACTTAAAAGTGATATCTTATTCTTTGATCATCTCTATGAAAATTCCTGGGTGAAGTAAGGATTGATCGTTATTGGAAATGAGCAACACCAAGAAACAAGAATCTCTCAAATTGTCTGACCAATAAACATAGATAATAACATTGTCTTAAAGGTTCTGTAAATATACGAAAGCATATTTAAAACTATAATGATATTTTGTTTTCCCGATTAAAAATAATCATATTCGCCTTTTCGACCAGACATCATATATTAAAATATATTTTAACTTAAACTTTACCCAATTTAACGCATTCACCAGATGTCCTATCATTATAAAGTATTACGCTGAACACATTAAACTGGCTCAACCTTCGCGCTAAAAGCACAAAAGCCGCGGTAAAAGGCGAGAGAGAAGAAGAATTAAAAACGTTACTTTATGATTTCCGTTCATCGCGTCATAATTCACTTCGCTTGAAGCAGCCGCTCTGGACGCCCCTAAGAAATAATTCACGCTCAGCTGCCTTTGGGTTTCATAACAGCGTCTTTAAAATTCATACATTAATAATTTATACTGGTGCTCACTGACCTTCCTGTTTTAATTACGCGCCAGCGCTACGTTTCATAGTTCACGGCTGTGATTAAAATGTCTCGGGCCGTCGTAAAATTCATAAGGCGCTATCGCCGCGATCGTCGGCTGCCTCGTATGCTAATTCCGGCCTCTTTAAAATCATAACGCGCGATGAGCACCCCGCTTCCTTGCATCGATTAAGATAAGGCCCACGACCTTTACACTCGCGCTGCCCGGATAAGACGGAGTGGGTGCTAATTGCCCGGCGGCCGTTAGAGTGGGGCGCGCGCGCACAATCGGCCGGATTATACGGTGTTGGCCCAGCGGAGCGTTTCGACTCCGGCGGCATGAACTGGAGCTGCACTAATTGGCGACGGCACGCGCCGGGCGTGCGCCCCGCGACGCTAGTGATGTGAAATTCAACCGGTTATTAAAAAAACTCTCTATGCGAATGTGGCGAGCGATTCTTTCGATAGTGAGTTATCGCGCCTATACATCCGCGGCCTCAACAGCGTTGACAGTGTTGGAAAGACTCACCCTCTCGCTGGGTGGACCGCTGAATTATGAATACTTCGTGCTTCCCTTCAATAGAGTTGGCTCGTTCTTGAAACGACGTCTCTGAGCAGCTCTACCATACTTAGATCGTAAAAACACATGAACGTTAAATTGAAAACAACTCGCATCGAAACCGAATAAGCAGAACTTTCTCCATAAGTCGTTATCGAACTGATGATCAGCCGATTTCCGCAGCACCCGAAGCCGGTAACTATGTATATCAACAGTGCCATTTGCACTCTATTATTCCGATCCCCCGATACTTCGCTTTCTAAAGCCCGATCATATGCGCGCGCAATAAAAATGTTTCATAGATTTCATCTAGCCCGCTCCAATGAAGTTTTTAACTTTAAGTGCTGACTTATCACGTGCTCCGCGGTGAGGGAAAACATCGTGAGGAAACCTGCATATTTTCGAAATAATAACAAAAAAATATTTCGAATTTATGTGAAGTCCGCCAATCCACAATGGGGCCGCGTGGTGGACTATGCCCTGATACCCTCTGTATAGAGGAGGCCTTTACCCAGCAGTGGGACATGTATAGGCTGTTACTTTACTTTACTTTTAGATTTCATCCAGTTAAGTGAAGAATCAGCCTATATATGCTACAGGATAAGGTACATCTCTATACACAAAGTCTGCAAAATTAAATTTAGGTTGCTAGATTTCACTGTAATAAAAAAGCGCTACGGTTACCTATAAAAAGCCGTTGTGGGCTTATTTATATACGGAACTAAGGCGGGAATCAGTTAAGATGAGCGACATCTATCGAACGAGCTTATATTTTTATAAACATCTTCATCATCGTCATCATATAAGAAATTAGATTCATTATCATCATCATTATAGCCTGTTTAAGTGCACTGCTGAACTAGTGCCTGTTAGAGTATACAGACTACCATGAATCATGGCCCAGAGCCACCTGCATCAATCGACCTCCCGCACATTTACATAGGTCGTCAGTCCATCCAGCCGGGGTTCTTTCGACATCCCAAATATGATTAAGAACTTGTAATTCCAAAAGTATCTTGAAAACATTGTATCTGACATATTTAAACATAAATATTTAACTATTCATATCATATGTTAGAGAATTTTGACCATACATAACATATAAAGAACACAATTATTTCCTCTACGTCTGTCTGTCCCTATGTATGCTTAGATCTTTAAAACTACGCAACGGATCTTGATGCGGTTTTTTTTACTAGATAGAATGATTAATGAGGAAGGTTTCTATGTATAATAAATTGCACTTGTGCAAAGCGGGGGCGGTCGCCAGTTGCACATAAGACAAACAATCGTGTTAGACATTTTATAAAACACAAATGACTACACAAGCTTCCTTCACTACTATCCCACCGTGAAACGACCCAGTTGGAGCCTACTCGCTCGTGCCTCGGAAACCAACGTTGGAACAAATGGATTGCCCGGGCACGCGCTCAGGCGAGTCCATTTCCCTGGGCTTTTTTAGCGCGGCGAGCAATTAAAAAAGACTAATCTTGACTTGACCCGCGCGGCGAGCATGTCCGCGGAACGTTATGATGGATGCCCCGCTTAGCCCCCATCAGATAGCGCGCGTTCGCTCCGCGCTACTTGGCCGGCTACCGAGTAATTGAGTTTCTAAATGTCACAGGTCGAGTGTTGGAACATTGGAACGGAGCCGTCGAGTACAACGCGTATTCAAATCGGGGTAGAGATAACTGAGCTTTGGCAAAGTTGAGGCAACACGAAGCCGAACACGGATACAACATTTTCTTATATTTAGACGAACAAAATATATTGTTTTGTTATTTGAACGTGATAGCACTGTGTCCAGTACACTCGAGTAACCTGACTTCAATTACCAAATGCAATTGCAATAAATTAAATAATGCAATTTTAAATTTTGATTCATAACGTGTTAAACGGTGTAGGAAAACGTCATAAGTAAAGTTGCATATTTCCAAAATAGGACTTTGCCCAGCAGTGGGATGTATACATGCTGTTACTTTGCTTAATTTTCTTTTTACATATTATTTTTGCTTCCTTTTATTCTTTGTTTTATATTTTTATTTATTTAAAAAGGTTTATAAACAATTGTTTACACTGGATACTACTTAATGCTAAGTAGATAACTTAAGATTAAACATATATTAGTGTAACAATTATTTAAAGATAAACACCACATGCACATTTACATTCATTGCTCTTAGCCACATCCGGTGCATCTCTGTAATTTGTTGGGGAGGAAATGGTTGGTCACTTAATGTTAATTTTAAATATTCAACATAGTTAAAAAACCACTAAAGTTAACTTGACCGCGCAGTCAAGAAGGTCAACGCTTGCGTGGAGAGAGTTGAATTGCCGTCATAAAAGTATCAAAACCAATCCTTGTATAAAGCGTCCTTTGTCACTTCCCGTCATAAATGATGCAGTTTTCAGTTTTACTTGTAACTGGCACCATTAATTTTTTTTTTTAATTTTACATATAAAATAAAAAAAACTGACGCAACACTATAACCGATACATCCGGCAATAACCTAATTACCGGAAGTAAGCGATTAGTAGAATGGAAGCAGAACATAAGCCAGATTTGTTTTCTTTAATAAAATAATGAAACAAGTAGAATATAATTTAAAAAAACTAAAAAACCCGACTGGTTTTAATATACTCAGTGTCACTCTCACAGTAAATATGAATCTAACGACACCTCTCAAGCTAAAATACATCTAGCCGTTCAGGCTGCAGAGCGTGCCAAATAATTAAACATACATACTCTGGAAAAACATAACCCTCCTTCTGGCGCAGTCGGGTTAAAAGTAAACATCTCTGTATTGCGTTTAAAACATTTCCACATCGACAATTCCACCAGTACCAAGATGCAACTCAGTAAAAGTACCAGGGTGGCATAAGCCGCAGCGGAGAGATCGCACGAGCGCTGTGTGCCGAGCGTTAGCACACCATGCCTGACTTGCATTCTTCATTGTGCACTCGATCCATCGGAATCCGACCGGTCCTACATTACGATGCAATATCTTATCAGTTATCTGCAGCCCACACGTGTGATCTCAAAGCCACGAGAGCACAACCTCTAATTTGTCACTCAGTAATCACAGCATCGGCTACTTCTCTTAAAGTGTGAAGTAGTCTTACGGTTTTTTGGGTTCTGTACCCACAGGGTAAAACGGGACCCTATTACTAAAACTCCGCTGTCTATCTGTCTATCTTCCCGTCTGTCACCAGGCTGTATCTTAAGAACCGCGATAGTTAGACTGATGAAATTAAACAAATATACACATATACACATAACATACAGATAAAACAACAACAAAATAAACAAAAATATTTAAGTGCGGCTACCGTTTTTGCCGTTTTATAGATAACTAGCGTCCCGCCCCGGCTTCGCACCGGTGCAATGTATTATACATAAATAAACCTTCCTATTGAATTTATCTATCTATTAAAAAAACCACATCAAGATCTGTTGCGTAGTTTTTAAAATCTAAGAATGCATAGAGACAGACAGACAGCGGGACGACTATGTTTTATACTATGTAGTGATAGGTACGGAACCCTCCGTGCGCGAGTCCGTCGCACTTGGCCGGTGTTTTTTTAAGTCTATTTATTTATGGATAGCGTTCCATCCAACAGACTCTGCTGGCGATATCGCGAGTGGGCCGCAACGGGAGGTCGCGCCGCAAGAGGCTGGGGCCCGGCGCGGCGGCGGAGCACTCGCCCCTGGACCTCTCGGCGGCGAGCGAGAGCGCGGCCAAGAGGGCGCGGCTCTCAGCCAGCCCCAGCACGCGGAGCGACGACGACAGGGACCGCGCCTCCAACGAGGGTGAGTACCCGGAACTGTGGTAGGGCCACGCAACAGTGTTCACTGTTGCACAAATTGGCAGGTCCGTCAGGGTAAGTACCACGACCTCGCAGAAGACAGGGCTGAAAGCGCGGTGACAACGCGGGACTGAAAGCTGACAAGCGAGCGGTTCACCCGATGTTAAATTATAACTGCCGCCAATAGACATTTACAAACCCGTAGGGTTGCAGATGCGTTGCCACCTTTCAACAAAGTAAGCTCCGGTCACCGTCCTTATTTCGTATTTTTATAGGCTTGATAACTATTAATATTATTTTTCATACAAAATGTTGGCAATAAATTTTTTGTAATCTCTTTAAAAAGGTCTCTGAGTGTATTCCGGGCTCCGATGTTATAGATTGCTCGGACAGCTCTTTTTTGAAGTTGTTTCTCTAAAGTATAACAAACATATATTATACTTTAGAGAAACATTTTTAAAATAAAATAAAGCGTGAAGTCCTTTGGAACTAATTTACTAATATATTAATCACAATAAGTTCGTTACATCTCTTTTTAAAAGTCTGAACTTTTTCTTAATTATTGAGACGTTCTTCTAATATTATTTAGAAGAGATGTCTATGGTCATAGTCCATAAAGCACTTACACGGAGAAAAAAAGTAACAGGCCCGCTGATTATCTCGACACGCACTCCGTAGCAAAGAGAAAACAAACACTTGAGACTTATAAAAATCATTTCCAATACTTTAGATTGAACTCGGCATTATTTTGGCGAAACGTTTTTGTCGTACAGTTATACTTATATCCCTGTTCCATTCCTGACATCACAAGTAATGTGACAGTTACAATCACATTTATAAGCGTTATCAAACATTAATTATTTTATTATTCACCTTCAAAACGAGAATAAAAACTATTTAGCTTCTAGAACGTTCCTTATTACAAAACTCATTCAACAACACATAAAAGCTTTCAATCAATATCGACCGGCAAAAACTTAAGTTGGAAAAAACGCTATGACAAAAACTTAGATTGCGTTCAATATATAAGGTACGACGAGTTCATTGGATGTCATACAATATTCTATCTATGTATATTTAGCACGTGTACAGGTGAACTTGTCTCAGTACAGAAAAAACATTATTTGAAATTCAAATTGAATCGAAATTCATCAGTCTTGGAAATAATGTATGTATTTTGTATATTTTATTTATTATCCAATGATGCACTGACTGTTCTCTTACTGTATTAACTGCGGAACTATAGTTAGAATAAGTTATAATATTTTACAAACTTGATACTACTGGTCATTATTTCATTGATGTTAAAAACTCAACGTGATTTTTTACTAGGCTTTTACTAATCCGCGGCTTCACCCGCGCGGTCAACGGGAATTAACAGTGAGTTCATATCTTACACCAAAATATCTCGCAGATGGCTGAATTTTATCCCAATTAGTTGACACTTATTATTACCTATATTTTGGACAATTCAAACTAAATCTTTATAAATTATAGCCTATGTGTTATTCTGATGTATAAACTAAATTATTGTAAAGTTTCGTTAAAATCAGTAGTTTTTGTGTGAAAGAGTAACAAACATCCATCCATTCATACAAACTTTCGCCTTTATAATAATAATAATACGATACCAATCTGTATAAATCGAACAAATTAATATGTTTTGACTGTATTTTTAGTAATCTGCTTCGTTATAGTCACACAGAACTAGTCAATAAATGTACCAACATAAAGCCCACTTTCTTATTTCTGTCTTTCTTTCATAAGCATAAAAATGTGTGTTCATTGTACATTCTGTTCCCAGATCGGAGCGAAGCGCGGGACTGCCTCTGTGCGGAAGCGCGGGCGCGACTGTCCGCCTGGTCTGTGGACGACGTATACGATTTCGTCAGCTCCATAGATATCTGCGCGGAGTACGCGTCGGTGAGTACAATCGCGCTCAGTAGAGCCCAGACACTGCGCACAGATAAATTTTAATTCCTTGTAGGTGCATGTTGAAGCGCAAAATGCAGTGTTCCATTTTCAAATTATAAGTTACACATTCGAAAACCATTTATTTTTATTTAAAAATGTCACGCGCTCCATCTTTAATGACTTAAACAAACATGTATGCATCTGATTGCATACGATTTATATAGAGTCCGGTCAGCTATTAATCGGGTAACAGTATTACTTTACAAAGTTGCACAATTAAGTGTAATCAACATAATTCGAGTGCGAACACGGGTAGCGGGTGAGTGAACGGGTGTAATAAAACATTAAATTGCTATCTTGCAACGCGATAAAGCAAAGTATTCATAAAAATGTATGGAGCATATTGCTACTTAATAACCAGCTACAAAGTAACGAGTGTGAATTCGAATACTAAAAGATAGCTACTGCATCCAGTGGTCGATTCCGTGAAACACAGATCCTAAAACTTCGATCTTCGTCGACCACCAGCTTTGATGGAAAACGTTTAATCACAAAACAATTACTTCAAATATGTCTTAATTTCTTATGGTACGGTTCAAACGCCGCGCAGCGTCGAAGTTTTCAGCCATCTGCAGCCATTACTGCAAGCTGTAATCACGAGCCCCCCGTGAGCATTGTTTCTAACCTTCGGAACGAGTAACCACTTCAACGTGAACCCTAGCTGAACCAGAACATTGATTCTGTGACAGTTACCCTACGTGTCTAACAAAGCGGTCATTGCTACCGATCGAATCTCCATCAATAAAGCTTTCAGATAGTCCAACGCAATGTTATAACCTTTTCCCACGGTTTTTCTCGCGCCTTATTATCTTTAAAAGCTGCAGTCGGAGACGTCAATCGGTGACTCACTTTCCTTTGCTACTGAAAATCTAAAATATACTAATTTTGTTGTTTGTGACAAAATAAAAGTTAACAATATCTTCATATTAAAGTAAAAATATAAATGTGTGGTGGTTTCAATCGTAAATTAAATAAATTTTCCACAACTTCCAAAAGTCGGAATTTATACATGCATTGGTTCCAGCCCACCAATTTGCCTTGTCACAATTTATAGTCATCTTTTTTACTCCTTTAACTGGGTTTTACTTGAATATCATAAAATAAATAATTTAGTAGCATTACTTGGCACAGAATGTGTTTACTTGTTGTTTCAGTGAGTGTTTTAACTACTTGTGTTTACGCAAATAATTCACATGTTTAAATAAAACTACTTTAAGTATTTCGTCGCATTAAAGGGAATGTTATGATATGAAATCGTCGGGAATTTAAAAAGAATAAACATGTAAAAGCTATCCTAGCAAAGTGTTAACTTTGAAAATCACCCTGTAAATGGCGAAGCACTTGTAAAGATTAGGTATCAACTTTATGATTCTGTGTAGGACGCTAAACTAGGATTGATACAGCGTATTAACAGCAGCTATTGTTCGACTCGCAGATATAATGTTAACCGACGTATCGATTGCTACCGAGCTACCCGATAATCGATTTACTACTCGCTAATTACGGACTAATAAATTCAGCGAGAAATTAACGCTTCCACTATTAATAACTAGCTACATGCGGCGCGTTTAATGGTAGGTTTTGTTCAATTAATGAGTTTACTTCAACGCAACGGATAGTGTCTTATGTAACTCTTTTTACAAATTTTATCGCGTTCAGCACAACATAAATTCCCGGTTTTGAATTCGTAAATTTGTGTAAAATCTTCATAATATGTCCTCATTAAATAATGTATAAGTATTTTTGTAAGATATTAAAATGAACCATTTATTGTTTTTTCACCGGAAGTCAATAATTATATTATAGACCCTAAGTTTGGTTTTTCCACTAGTGGATAACTAACATCAATTTTATAAGAAATTAAAAGATTAATAAACCATTTCACGCCATGGCAAATTTCAGACAATCGTAGTCATGTTTAAATTTTAACTAACAACCTTAACATTTTAATGTTTATCGGGTACTAAAGTCACTGGTGCTTGTTCCCTGAACGTATTTGAGCAGAGGTTTATAAGATATTAAATTACAACGTTCAGATTAGAATTACGCGGGCGGAGCCGCGGGAAAAGCTATGTTTGGCTAAAAAGCGCGGTCAGTACGCACAACGCAGGCTTAACTATCAAGGGCTGTCGCATTTAACATGCTACACAGTGACACTCAAGTGGGCGGCACCTCGTAGACGTCGGGAACGCGCTCGGTACTTTCTTTCATTGTGTCAACGTGTCACATCATGCCTACATGTGCGGGAAACGTTAACGTTATCGCGTTAACGCCCGTTAGTTTTCACTTATCGTTCGTTCGTTATCACGTATCGTAAATTCGTTAATGAGAACGCATTTCACCGCCGTGTCGCTCCGATCGAGACGCAACGTCCATAATTATAATTGACGGGTGCCAACGCAAGCGGAAAGCTGCGGTGTAAACAAGGGCTGGTGGTTTTGCCAACCGGTTACGCAATCGGTTTAAGGACAGACCCGAGATATCCGATTACATTTCAATCACCATCGACAATAGTAGGGATATGAGTAGAGTAATCTTGATAATAATAACTCTTTAAATGTACTATATTAGGTGGACGTACACTAATTTATAAATTTACTGGATGCATTAAGAATGAAGGAATCGTATTTGAAATATGACAATGTCAAGAAACAAGAGAGTCTAACTCGTATAATAGCGGATGTTAAGGCGGGAATTGAATCATTCCGCTCGCAGCAGTCGAGACGAACGCACGCCTTGGCACGCGCTCTCTCTGCTCTGCTACTCCCCACCCCTGTCCGCTTCCGCGTGCCGACTCGCTCGCCGCGGACGCTCAGTCGTCGCGCACCGCGCGCCGCGTTCACTCGTAATTTTTATTACGAGTGGGCACCCCGCTCGCAAGTCGAGTTGCGAGGTGCAGTTCTGACTGCGCCGACCAACACGCTTAGCAGCGGTTCTGTTTCGACGTCTTAGGGCTAGTGGATACCTAACGGTGATAACGAAACTAGCCAAGGCTTGCCCCGATCGCCTTGCGGTTCTCTCCTGAGAACCGCGAATCTTCGGAAGGGACCACCATCACTGGCCTTGGGTGTAGTCCCTAGTCAGCGGTGGTCCACGTTTGGCCTTTTAGCGCCCTCGGGTAGTTCTAATTAGCTATAAGTACACACCCGTGTGCACAATAAGATCGGCACAAGGACGCATTAGGGCCACACAGTTTAGGCACTCATCCTCCCTGCCTATACCCGGCAGGGAGGGATACGGGCACACACCCCGGCATCCCACCGGGCGTATTAAAAATATTACGCCGTAAATTAAAAAATGGCCGAAGTAAAGGCCATCCTCGGACTTCTCCGGGAAAAGTTCCCGGAAGCTATCCCCGACACTCTAGAGGTGTTACGGGGACTCTCAAGGCCCTCTTCAAGGGCATCCTCGGAAAGCGCCGAAGCGCCCTCCTCCTCCTCACAAGAGGAAATGGAGCTCGATTCGCCGCTCTCCCCCGACGCCGATGAAGGCGGCTTGTTCACCCAAGTGGTGAACAAGAAGAAGCGCAAAAAGCGCTCTTCGCAGCCGTCCTCAGCGGCTCCGTCCCCCGTTCCGCCAGTCAAGGCGCCAAGGCCGACCGAATCGGCCACAGCCGGGCCCTCAAGGCCCACTCCCCCGACCCCATCGCCTTCAGCGATTCAACCCACCCCGGTTGCCTCACAAGCAACCCCCGCGCCTCCCGCAGCCCCCCGTGCGCCGCAGGACAAGCGCCCTCCACCCTTTTTCATCAGGGACACTGACAAGTGGCCCATGATAGCATCAGCCCTATCAAATAGGCTGAAATTCGTAGCTACAACGACCGCACAAGGTATCAAGCTCCAGCTTGAAACCGCTGACGCCCACCGCCAAGTCTCTAAATTTCTTAGGGACAAACAAATCTTTTACCATACCTACACGCTGGCCGAGGACCGAATCCTACGCGCCGTCATTAAGCGCATTCCCGCGAACATTCCCACTGAAACGGTCCTTGAATCCCTTAAGGAGCAAAACCTCCCAGTCCATGCGGTCCACCGCATAAAAAGTAAAAGAAAGCGCAGCCCTATTGACATGGTCATGGTCCATTTAGACCTCTCTCCAGAGGGGAAAGCTATTTTCAATATTGAATCAGTCATGGGACTGACCAATATTGTTATCGAACCTCCGCACAAGGCCACCCTCCCGGGACAGTGCCACAAGTGCCAAAATTACGGGCACGCCGCCCGTAACTGTTTTGCCAAGCCCAGGTGCGTAAGTGCCTAGGCGACCACGGCACCCCGGAATGTCCCAGACCAAGGGACAAGGCCCTTCTGGCCAACTACGGTCCACCCGCATGCGTCCTCTGCCAGTCGGAAGGACACACAGCCAACTATCTTGGCTGCCCGAACGCACCTAAGCGCAGACCCATTAGGCCCGCCCCTCAGGCAACAAGAAGGCAGCCGATTCCAACGGCCGCCTCATTCCCTCCTCTTCGCCCCGCGTGGCAGAACCCCATGGCCCCCGCTTGGGCCAAACCGAATCCGCCACTCGCGGAACCCAAAGCTGCCCCTCAACCGGCGCTCATCCCAACACCACCAAAAGCGGCCGGGGGCAACCCCCTGGACTCGCTAAGTCAACTCCTCCGAACCGTCGACATGGGGAGGTAATGTACTTTGCCGAGCAGTATGCCAAAGGCAACTTCAGCTCGCGATTACTCCTTCTAGACCAGTACCAGCACATAGTTGCTGCGCTTTCAGTTTAAACCAATATGGATAGCACAACTAGAAATAATAATAACGAAAATATTAGTCCCTCTGCCACGCGTAATAACGGCAGAGTCAAACCGCGATCGATTAATGTAGCATTCTACAACGCGAACGGGCTTAAAGAGCAACGCGACGAAATACGTATTTTTTTACGCGACCACCAAATAGATATACTACTAATTCAGGAGACGTTCCTGAAACCCGCGACAAGGGATCCGCACATCCCCAACTATCGGATAGTTAGAAACGACCGTGCCG